GGGGCGGGTATGTGATTCGCTAGAAACGTCAAAAGCCCAAGAAGGTGAGACAAAGCCCGAATATAAGAAAGTGATCTTTACAGGCCCATCGCAAAACTGAACCCCTAATCTCCACTGAGAGTGTTAAGCTACTTCTCTCCCTTCACCAAATCTCCCGGCTTGCGCGATTCTGCTTCGTAGCGCCGAACCGGAGAGAAGAAATAAACCCTATCTCCACCGCTCCAAGAGAGTTCCACCTCATCCCAACAGCTCCTGCTGCTTCGTATCACTCGTTTCTCTCACTACGATGAACTGTGCAAGTAACGCTCTTTCTTCTTCCTTCTCAGTTTGCCGATTTTAGGGTTTTCTTTTGGTTGATTGATAACGGAACTGTCTTATTCGTTCCATACAGTTTCCGGAGAAGTTCCAGAGGAGCCAGTTGTTTCAACGAAGTCAGGTCTGCTCTTCGAGAGGCGATTAATCGAGAGGCATATATCGGTAAAAGCCTCAAGCTTTTTCCTTTGAGATTCAGATCCTCTTTACATTTTGTAAATTACTGAGTTTGGAGATTTACCTTGGATAGGTCTCGTAACAGTGTGAAATTGCGTCATTCTCTCTTATATTTTTATTTTAATCTTTGGAAAGATCTTGGCTTTTGTTAACATTATATCTCAAAGTTATCGATCCACCTTTAATGATCTCATGGAAGTTCATTTGACTTGGTAGGATTATGGGAAGTGCCCGGTTACTGGAGAGCCTCTAACGCTTGATGACGTTGTTCCCATCAAAACTGGGAAGGTAAGTGTTATTTTTTTTTTTTGAGTATTTGATGTTGAGAACTGTTGAAGAATTTGGTTTAAGATGTTTTAGTTTCTTTGAATATTCTGCAGGTTATAAAACCGAAGCCAGTGCATACAGCTAGCATCCCTGGATTGCTTGGAACGTTCCAAAATGTGAGTTTTTTTTGGATGTTTTAGAATTTTGTTCCTACTTTTTCTTTATGGAGTTTCACGATAAAGTTTCCCCCTGTTCCTGTTATTGATCACTAGAGCTTGGTTGATCGCATTGGAACAAGTTTAGGCTTTCAGGGTTGGTTAAATATAAGTTTCGTTTGAGTGTGAACAGCTATTACTATTGATCATCTGCTCGTTTTCTGACTGCTAATCAAGAGAAAATTATTCATTAGTTAGGTTGAATTAGACAACGTGATTGAAGTTAACCTATTTTGCTGCACTTCTAGGAATGGGACGGTTTGATGCTATCAAATTATGCACTGGAGCAACAACTGCATACTGCAAGGCAAGAGCTTAGTCATGCCTTGTACCAGGTAACTCCGGTTCTATGTTTGTGGCATGATCAATTTTTGTTATGTACCCTTGTTTTATTATTCTCAACTTTTCGTCATTTATTAAGCGTTTTTGAACAATTTATGTAATTATTTTTGTGCTTCTGTTTGCAGCATGATTCTGCTTGTCGCGTGATTGCTAGGCTTAAAAAAGAAAGAGATGAAGCTCGTCAATTGCTTGCAGAGGTTGAAAGACATATACCTGCAGCCCCAGAAGCTGTGACAGCTAATGCTGCTCTTAGTAACGGTAAACGAGGTATGATTGTACGTACACTTTTAGTCAAAAAATGTTAGCTAATTAGTTTTCTATCTTCTAACATGTTACAATACTCCTTTGTTGTGTAATAGCTGCAGGTGATGTAGAAATGGTTCCTGATGCGAAGAAGTTGTGTCCTGGCATTTCAACTGAAATTATCACGGAATTGACAGATTGCAATGCTGCTCTCTCCCAGAAGCGCAAAAAGCGACAGGTACTGCATATTATTTCCCATTTATCTTTGATCATGCATTTGAAATTTGTATCGTTTTCTTGTTTGTAACATTCAACTGTAAAAGTGGAGGCTTATGATTTATGTTACTCAATATATCTGTTTAGATCCTGGTATTGTTTCGAAACTTGAAAGCAAAATGTTGCTACTTCCTACCTCTCTTTGCATGTTTTCTTCTCCTGTTCCACTCGGTTCACAAATTTAGAGTTTTGTGTCTTGTGTTAGTTCCTGCTGTCTTGTTAATTTAAGCGTTTTATTTCTACAGATTCCTGAAACATTGGCTTCAATAGATTCTTTGGAGAGGTTTACTCAGCTATCAAGCCACCCACTTCACAAGACCAACAAACCGGGGATTTGTTCCATGGACATCCTACATTCTAAGGTTTCTCATCACTCTATTCTTATCTGTTTGTGGAAGTCATTGCATAGCATGTGATAGCTCACAAGCAGACTTGTGCTCATGAATTATTTGAATACATCCTTTGAGTCCTCGGTTGGGCAATGCTCAGTTTACTGTTCTATCTTTTTTGTGGCATAAGTTTTTAGTTTTCGTCTTATATACCATAGGACTTGCGTGATAGTTTGTGTTATGACATGTGGTCCTTCGTGTATCTTTTGATACCCATTACACCAGTTCTGGTGTGAAAAATCTTATCTCTCATTATCTTTTTTTTTTTTTTAATTTGTAATCAGGATGTCATCGTTACGGGAGGAGTGGATACAACTGCTGTTATCTTTGATCGCCCTTCAGGGCAAATCTTGTCAACACTGACTGGTCACTCGAAAAAGGTAAAAAAAAATTGCCTTGAATTCTGTTTTACTTTTCTCTGTGGCTTCGTCCTTGATATGTGTTAACCCTTTTGTAGGTTACAAGTGTAAAATTTGTTGGTGACAGTGATCTTGTTTTGACTGCTTCTGCTGACAAGGTAACTCGGTAGTTTTCAAATTTGTTTGGATAATGCTTGGTCATTTGGTCATTGTTTCTGTAAGAGTTTTGTAATCCTGCGATTGCCTTTGCTCTGAAAAGTAGTAGCTGGAAGATGCATTTTTGTACTGAAAAGATAATAAGTAGCCTAGCCATGAAAACGGAACGTATAGATTCATGATGCCATCTTTGAAAAACTTTGAGTTCGCTGGGTAGAGAGAGTTATGAAAGACGTTTGGATCACTCGCACCAGTCTTTGGGATATAACATCACCATTTGTTAAATAGCTATCTTTATATTACTAAATTAGTTACTTACCTGCAGACAGTCCGTATCTGGCGGGATTCTGGGGATAGGAATTATGCTTGTGGGCATACATTGAATGATCACTCTGCAGAGGTAAGGATGAAATTGAATAACTCTCAAAGTCTTTTACGGTTTACTTATATTCATGTTATCCATGTACATTTTGTTTGACATACTAGCGATGATACTTTTTTCAGGTGCGAGCTGTAACTGTGCATGCCACAAATAAATACTTTGTGTCGGCATCTCTTGATAGTACATGGTGCTTCTACGATCTTTCCTCTGGCTTGTGCCTTGCAAAGGTTCTTCGTCTCTTTCATCAATGAACCAATTAATTCATGTCTTCCTTTCTAATTTTGCGTATATACTATATTACAGAAACTATTCTATATGTTCATTTTGGATTATACTTTCTTCGTTAAGCATTGTCATATAAGCTTCTTCCTAAACGGCAATGTATGTGTTACACAGTACAAGCTCCTTTCATAATATAGCTATTTCTTGTGTTTATTCAGGTGACGGATGATTCTGAGAAGGTGGATTACACGGCTGCTGCTTTTCATCCCGATGGTCTCATTCTCGGAACCGGTACTTCTCAATCTGTTGTTAAGATTTGGGATGTTAAAAGTCAGGTAAAAAGCTTTGGTCTTCTGGGTTCTATTACCTCTTTAAGAAATCTATATTTACGTCCCGCAAGACTTCATTTTGTTCGACTTTTTGTGTTGGATAATAGGCAAATGTAGCAAAGTTTGATGGACACACCGGTGAAGTTACATCTATATCTTTCTCTGAGAATGGTTACTTCCTCGCGGTGAGTAATTTGAACAAACTCCGAGACGTGAAAGTGCAACTACGATTCTGTGTACATGAATGCTTTTTTTTTAATTATGATTCTGCAAATGTACAGACTGTTGCTGAGGATGGTGTTAGGTTGTGGGACCTGCGCAAGTTAAGGAACTTCAAGTCATTTTCATCTGCAAATGCAAACTCTGGTATGCAACTACTGTATCCCATTCAAGTAGTTTTGTTGATAGATAAATATCTCCACGTGTAATGAAAATACTTTTTTTTTGTGCAGTGGAGTTTGACCCTAGCGGATCTTATCTTGGTGTTGCTGCGTCAGATATCAGGTGAGTGCGGATTTGAAATTTAATTTGTCAAAGAGACCAATCTCAGCTAAAGAAACATTCAAAAGAGACTTGTGCAGTTCAATAACCTGCACGTGGGTTTAAAAAGTTAACAATATGTTTGTATCGGCTGCAGAGTATACCAGACGGCGAGTGTGAAAGCTGAATGGAATCTTATCAAGACACTCCCAGATCTTTCTGGCACTGGTAAGATCCCTTTAACTAATTCTTTTAGTGGTCACATAGCGATAGTATTCCTAATTCGAAGAGTGTTGAACTTGCAGGTAAAGCTACATGTGTGAAGTTTGGTCCAGATGCACAATACGTGGCAGTTGGTTCCATGGACCATAACCTACGGATATTTGGTCTTCCTGGTGACCAAACAGCCAACGCCGAGGAAGACTCTGCACAAGACTCGTGAAGAGTTCGTTATAAAACTCGGCAAATTTTCAAATGTTCATCTCCGGTTTCTTCTCTCTTCTGTTGTATCTTACAGTTTTCACAGCTAAGGAGGATTTGTTAGTTGGCATAGTGATATTCTTCGGTGTTTCTCTGAACTCAAACGTTCACACTTGAGTTTTCTTACTCTATCTTATAGGTTCTTCTAATCTCTCTTTGACCTTTAAAACTGTACCAAACTGTTCTTTTTGTTGCCAAGGATCGAAATGAAGTGAAGACGTTTTATCTTTTTGTATGTTTAGACTATATTTTGCTTTTAGACGTTAAGTGCACAGACTGGCCCCAAAATATCCCTAAACACATGTCAAATCCTGACCTAATAGCCACAAAGACTTATTTTTCTAGATCACCTGTGTACGAAGAAAGATGCTATTTAAAACTCTTTGCAAGAAGACATTAGCATGTATCTTACAATTTACAAAGTATTAATCAACTCATCTCTCCTAATATAGCAAACTTCTACTTATCCAACTAAATAATATCAAATATGATTTTCTCTTCTGTACAGCAAAACCAGAAAATGGAACCTACGATTGATTCCTTCTCTCCTCTCTCATCTCTCTACTTCAAAGGTTATTAAAAAAAAACATCTAGAAAAAGAAGCAATGACCAGTAACTTATCCATAGCATTCGGAGGTCAGCCACCAAACGATAACAATCTAATGATCTATTATCCAATGAAGAATCGTCCACTTCTTATGGGGTTCAAAATTCCAATTCTTTAACCCTTTCATTCCCCCTAAAACTTCAAACACATTTCGTCGAACGTGACTGATTTTAAAACAACACAACATTGATTATTGTCCACAAAACAATGTCGATGTTTCCTAATTTCCAATTACTAGAGCTCAACATAATCTCCGCACAGGATCTAGCTCCCGTCTCCCGCAAAATGAAGACTTACGCGGTGGCTTGGGTTCACTCCGAGCGTAAACTCACCACCCGCGTTGACTACTCCGGTGGAGCCAACCCAACATGGAACGACAAGTTCGTCTTCCGAGTCAGCGAGGATTTCCTCTACGCCGACACTTCAGCCGTCGTGGTCGAAATCTACGCTTTGCATTGGTTCCGTGACGTCCACGTAGGTACAATCCGCGTCCTCATCAGCAACCTAATCCCACCAAACCGTCGACCCGGTTACCGAACCAACGAAGAATACCGCCATTCTCCCCCTCCCGGAATGCGATTCGTCGCGCTACAAGTTCGCCGACCATCCGGCCGTCCTCAAGGAATCCTCAACATCGGTGTGGGAATCCTCGACGGTTCTATGCGAAGTATGCCGCTTTACACGAATATGGACTCGTCTGCGGTTGGCTACAGAGACTTGCTAGGCGAAGAAGATCCGCATTTACAGAATCTGCATCTCAACAGCTTCAAAGGAAGCTCCAAGAACCCGCAATCTCCCTCTTCAAAACAGCACCAATCCGTAGTCTCTAGGCCTCCTCCACCGATGCTACGTCGTACGAGGAGTGATACAAGCTCCATGGTTGTCTCTGATCTTCTGGACAGAGCGGAGCGGAGCCGTGTGTCTAATAAGAAACCTGTGAGCGCATTACCTAGCGACGATGAAACTATACCTACAACGTCGGGGCATCATACGACGACGGATGATTCCCTCGACGATTACGAACCTCCTTATAAAACACCTCATATCCCAGGGGATAGATACGATTCGTTTGAGGATGAGGAGTTTGTGGATCAATCACCAAGAAGTGAAAGATACGATGATTCACCTTACCGTTCGTACGATCATTCACGCAAAACGCCGGTGATTGAGAAGCCAAGGCCACCGAGAGACTACGATCGAAGCAACCGCGCTTCACCGTACTTATCGAAGCACGGGACGCCGTTGAGATCTAACATCGTCGCGTCTACTCCGATCAGATCTAACATCGTTGCGTCTAGTCCTATGCGATCAAACGGCGTTGCGAGATCTAACATGGTTTCATCTAGTCCTATGCGATCCAACGGCGTTAAATTGACTCCGATGAGATCTAACGTCGTTACATCTAGTCCTATGCGATCGACTCCGAAAAGATCTAATATCGTTGGATCTACTCCCTTACGATCTAACATAATCGGATCAACTCCGATCCGATCTAGTTACATGGGAACACCGATGAAATCGCCTCTACGATTCGGTACGCCGATGAGATCGAATTTGGCAGGGAGACCGGTTTTAACCGAATCTGAGCTAGGTCCGTCGCCTTCGGAGGTAGCGAATAAGTTAGCGAAGGAGAGATCGCAAGCTAATGATACCGAGAGTTCAATCCTCAGCGAGTGGAGTCTCGATGACGATAGCAACATCGAAGGTCTCCGATCGAAACTCGAGCGGTGGAGAACGGAGCTTCCGCCGCTTTACGATCTCGGATCGAGTCATCAGAGTAGCGATGTAGGTAGCGCGATTGTTCCGGCGTCGGCGAATGCAGGCGGGAGGAAGAGTTCGAGACGGAAGACTCCGACGGTGACGAAGAAGAAGCATAACCGCCGTCATACGGAAGGAGGAAACGGTCTTTTCTCGTGTTTTAGTAATATTTGTGGCGCGGAATGTACTTTTGTTTGTGGAGGTGGGCCGGATCATGACGGGTCGAAAAAGAAAGGTGGGTCTAAGCGTTTGCCTCGCTTGGGATCTGCTGATAATTTAAGTTATGTGTGAATAATTTTTACATTTTCACTGGCCAATATTCTTTTATATTTTATGGGGTTTGTGAAAGAAAAAATATTTGTGAATAATCTGGTCAAACCCTATAGATGTGATCCTCTTATTTATTTATTCTTTAAAAGTAATAACATTATAATTGGCAAATACAAATTCAAGACTAAAAAACCAATGATTTTTATTAAGTCTATAACTTGCATATTCTAAGTGTGTCAAAAATATAATAAAATAAAATAAACATTAGTAATCAATCGTTTAAACCATTTCTAAAAATACTTTTTATTTTAGAATTTGTAAAACTCTATATTTGAAGTTTAAAAATATTATACTCCAAAAGCAAAACTTTAAATTTAATTTAAAACTATGTGTATTTTATACTATTGTCTTTATATTTGTCATAAATAATTCAAATTCATAGAAATTTAATGTTTTATATTTGATATTATGATCCTTATATTTTTCATATTTAATGTAAATTCATAAAACATTTATAAATAACAAACAGATATATATATATATATATATATATATATATATAAATTATACAACAATATTAATTAATAAAAATTTATACTAAAATATAAAATTATAAAAACCAACACAAATACATAATAAAATATTAATTACAAGCAGAATATCACATTCTTGTTGTCTAATTTTAGTTTTTTTAAGAAAAAAATACTAAACTACAAGCAAATATTTTAAATTTTATTATAATTGTTTTTTAGTTTTATATCTAAAACATAAATTTATAAAAAAAAAGTAAACGTCAATTTGAAATATTTATGAGGTATAAAATTTTTAAGGTTTAAAATGATAAAAAATAAAATATTTTGAGTTATAAATTTTATTGGTGACTGTAAAGACCAAAATGCAATTAAAAAGATTAAACTATAAACTTTGAATTTGAGTATTGTAACTTGGAGAGCAAAAAATTCTTTATTTAAAGTTATAGAATTTCTTTTGTAGATGTTCTTAAAGAGCTTAAAAAATCATATTTAAAGTTATTAAGTGTTTTTTTGGAGATAGCTTTTATGGATTTTTTTCTTTTTAACACTGGTTACATAATGTATTATAAAAATATGAAAATACTACATAGACGATATTACAGTCAACAATTTTACCTATCTTATATGGATTCACATCTGATTGATTCACTCTGACATTTGACAAGAACACCTCTAACAAAAAAAAAAATATGATTTCTATTTCTTTTTCTGAGCATTTCCATTTGTTGGGTATATAATTAAAAGTGGCAAAGAACACTGAAGACATCCAGTTACAAGATATATCCTTAGAGAATTGATACCCATATTCATCAGCAATAATGAGCCCTTCTGTGATAACACATATTACACAGAGGACACTGGAGATATCTGCATATTCATCAGCAATAATGAGCCCTTCTGAGTCAAGGCAATCTCATTCTTTGGCTAAACCCTAACTCAATCTATTTTTCAGGTGATTGCTTACGATATAGCCACTAGAAAACCACGTTACTTTAGTCCCAAGACTCCCCCAGCCTTCTCCACACCACCATAACTCCCTTACTGGTTCCCTCCAATGTATCTCTAGTTAGTTAGTATGCTCTGTATCCTTCAGTACTACCTAAGCCCAAGATCATTTGTATGTTCCACTGTTTGTTTGTTGAATTTTGCTATCTATCATTCGAGTGTATAAGGATGTGACTAATTAAAAGTATCACAACAGCCGGAAACAACATATATGGCACTAGATTACAAACACATGAAACTACTTGGCAGAAAATCCAACAATCAAAACGTAAGAACGAAACAACTCTAACGGTTTCTGCCCTTAGTCGGACCAATTATCATCACTATCCACTCCTTGATTCTCATCATCATCATCTCGGTTTGTCCTGGCTTCAAGTGTACTTGAAAAAGAAGAACACGTTGATAGATTGTAAGCCCCATATTGATATACTAACCTAACTCCTGTTATTTACCTTTCTATTTTTATATTTTTTTTTTTCCAGTGTCTCTTTTAGAGTTTATTTTTATTTTTTGTTAGGAAAAAGCAATATGATCACTCAGTATTGAGAAATGATCCTTTGGGTTGTGAATGTTTGGAAAGAGATTTAAGCTGTTGTGGTTTGCTTATATATATGTTAGATCTTTGTGCTCATGGTGGACATGGTTTTACTTAGTAGGAAAAAAACAGAGATGTATGAAAATGATGGCTAAACATTCACTGTTCTTACTTTATATTAAACGAAATAGAACAAAGTATCAGATAATCATACAAAAAACATAAAGAGATGCTTCCAGACAACAGCAATAATCAACCACTTGACATACATTGAAGGATCATACTCAAACTGAAAACATTCCTAACGGTTTCTACGCTTGTTCGGACCAATTATCTTGACGAGCCACTCTGGTTTGTATGTGGCAATGAGGTGTGCTATTGCAAGTCCACGAAATACTCCAACTCCATACCCTATTGCCACGCCTTTCCAGTTCAACACTTCTTCATCTTCTCCTTCTTCCTCCGGAGGTTGTTGTGTTGGTGGCGCAATAGTACCAAAGCAAGTTTCCTGGAGAGGAAGACCACAAAGCCCTGCGTTCCCTTCAAATGAAGATTTAGGTTGACCAATAATCTGTGGTCCTTGTGGTATTTCACCCTTGAGTTGGTTGTGAGACATATTTATGTACGCCAAAAAAGAGAGGGTGCGTCCACTAGGAATAGTCCCTGAGAGTTGGTTGCTTGATAAGTCTAGTGACTCGAGATTGCTCAGATTGGAGAAAGAATAAGGAATAGTCCCTGAGAGTTGCATGTCTTCTACTTCTCTGCTTAATAACACAATATCCACTATAAAAGATACACCATGGTTCTGAAAAGGAAAAGAATTGTGGCCAGAAGTTTTGAAATTTTTACAAGAATGTTACCTATGTGTTTGTGTGTAGTAGCCGTTAACTCATTATATAAGAACAAAAATTTTTAATCCAATAAAAGGTATATACGCCATTCTATATGAGGCGGATATATACACTTATAAAATGCTCTTAGTCGTGGTTTAAGGCGATAATCAAGGTTACACAAATTATTAAACAATTAATTTGATCATGTGTGTATTATTAAAACTTAAAAGAAAGACTTCCGCACTCAATTATTTCACGCCCTCCCTTGCATAAATAAGCAATTGATAGTGATTCTTGACAGAAGAACACTCACTTTTAGCAACAATGGTAGCAATGTTCATCGCTGACTTTCAAAACTCTTCCATCTTAATCCTCCTTTGCCTCTTTTCATTCATCTGTTACTCTTTCTTTTTCCTCAAGAAACGAAATAACTCAGTACAAGGTTGTAATCTGCCTCCTAGCCCTCCGTCTCTTCCAATCATCGGTCATCTTCACCTTCTCCTCTCCCCTCTAATCCACAGATCCTTACAGAAACTCTCCTCCAAGTACGGACCTCTCCTCTATCTCCGTGTCTTCAATGCCCCAATGATCCTCGTCTCCTCTGCCTCAATAGCCTACGAGATCTTCAAGACGCAAGACGTGAACGTTTCCCTTCGCAACTTCCCTGCGAGCGAAGGGTCTCTCTTCTTTGGATCTTCCGGCTTTGCCATCGCACCTTACGGAGGTTACTGGAAATTCATAAAGAAACTCATGACCACCAAGCTCATTGGACCTCAGGCCCTCGAGAGGTCTCGAGGCATCCGTGCGGATGAGGTGAATCGGTTTTACTTGAACCTTGTAGACAAGGCAACTAAGAAGGAGAGCGTTGTGATCGCTGAGGAAGCGATGAAGCTAGTACTCAACATCACGTGCAAGATGCTTATGGGAAAGAGATTTTCAGAGGACGAAGAGAAAGTGAGGGGGTTAGTGTCTGAAACAGATGTCTTGTCAAAGAAGTTAGTCTTGGCGGTAATCTTGCGCGAGCCGCTTGCCAAGTTTGGGATCTCGCTTTTCAAAAAGGATTTAGCCAGTATTTCTCGCAGGTACGATGAGGTGTTGGAGAAGAGTCTTTTGGAATGTGAGGAGCATAATCAAAGTTCTGAGATGTTGGCGGTAAGTGGATTGACCCAAGTCATTTGATATATTACTTAAGTCTCTTTCGTATTTCCAATGTGAGATATTCTCTCTGACAGGCGCTTTTGGAAGCTTGTCAAAGTAAAACAGGAGAGTATAAGATCACTAGGAACCATATCAAGTCCTTGTTCGTGGTAAAAAAAAATCCTCAGTTTTATGTGGATTTGTTAATCAAGAAACCAATGGTTGTCCTCCTGACTATGCTTCTACAGGATCTTTTCGTTGCAGGTAGTGACACCTCAACAAACGCTATACAGTGGACCATGGCAGAGATTTTCAACAACTCTAAGATTCTTGAGAGACTGAGAGAAGAAATCGATTCGGTCATTGAAAAAACAAGGTTGATTCAAGAAACAGATCTACCCAACCTTCCTTATTTGGAAGCTGCTGTCAAGGAAGCACTGAGATTGCACCCACCGGCACCTGTTGTGTTAAGGACCTTCCAAGAAGGATGTAAGTTCAGAGGCTTCGATGTGTTGGAGAAGACAACACTTCTTGTTAACGGCTATGCTGTAATGAGAGATCCAAATATCTGGGAATACCCTGAGGAGTTTAAACCTGAGAGGTTTTTGTTGCCTTGTTCGAGATCATTTCAAGAGGATGAGATCAAAGAGGAAATCCTGAAATATCTTCCTTTCGGAAGTGGAAGGAGAGGCTGTCCTGGATCAAATCTAGCTTATCTTTCTGTTGGAACCGCGGTTGGGGTGATGGTGCAGTGTTTTGATTGGAAAATTGAAGGAGATAAGGTTAGCATGGAAGAGGTTCCTCGGGCAATGACATTGACTATGGCTCATCCCCTTAAATGCATTCCTCTTCTTCGAAATCCAAACCCTTTACCTTCCAATGTGTAGATTTCCAGTTTGTGCGTTCCAGTTCTTATTAATTCAATACACACTAGCTAGGAATGACTATATCAATACCATTAAAACAGAAATATTATGTTTAATGAGTTTTTAATATTTTCCAAAATTACCCTTAATGATATAAAAAAACTTTTATTTTCATTAGTGATAATATAATCTTTTGGTTTTTAGGCCTAAACAATATACTAATGTGTTTTATTAATGGGCTAAATTCACTATCTAATTATTTATGAAGTTTCTTTCAAAAATAAACACATCAGACTTAATTGGCATAGTTAAAGCATGAATTTTGATATCAGCCCGCGGGTTGACCCGCCACGGAGTAGGTCGATCGATTTGAAAAATTTTAAGTTGTGGGTGCGGGTGCGGGTCAAGTGTATTTTATGTGGGAAGGATGCCGGTTTTTCTAATTTCAATTGCGGATACCCGGTAATCGAAGGGTCTCTCTTCTTTGGATCTTCCGGCTTTGCCATCGCACCTTACGGAGGTTACTGGAAATTCATAAAGAAACTCTTGACCACGAAGCTCCTTAGACCTCAGGCCCTCGAGAGGTCACGAGGCATCTGTGCGGATGAGGTGAATCGGTTTTACTTGAACCTTGTAGACAAGGCAACTAAGAAGGAGAGCGTTGTGATCGCTGAGGAAGCGATGAAGCTAATAATCAACAGCATGTGCAAGATGCTTATGGGAAAGCGTTTTTCAGAGGACGAAGAGAAAGTGAGGGGGTTATTAGTGTCTGAAAACAGATGTCTTGTCAAAGAAGTTAGTCTTGGCGGTCATCTTGCGCGAGCCGCTTGCCAAGTTTGGGATCTTGCTTTTCAAAAAGGATTTAGCCAGTATTTCTCGCAGGTACGATGAGGTGTTGGAGAAGAGTCTTTTGGAATGTGAGGAGCATAATCAAAGTTCTGAGATTTTGGCGGTAAGTGGATTGACCCAAGTCACTGATATATTACTTAAATCTCTTTCGTATTTTCAATGTGGGATATTCTCTCCGACATGTACTTTTGGAAGCTTGTTAAAGTAAAACATGAGAGTATAAGATCACTAGGAACCATATCAAGTCCTTGTTCGTGGTAAAAAAAATCCTCAGTTTTATGTGGATTTTTTAATCAAGAAACCAATGGTTGTCCTCCTGACTATGCTTCTACAGGATCTTTTCGTTGCAGGTAGTGACACCTCAACAAACGCTATACAGTGGACCATGGCAGAGATTTTCAACAACCCTAAGATTCTTGAGAGACTGAGAGAAGAAATCGATTCGGTCATCGAAAAAACAAGGTTGATTCAAGAAACAGATCTACCCAACCATCCTTATTTGCAAGCTGTTGTCAAGGAAGCACTGAGATTGCACCCACCGGCACCTGTTGTGTTAAGGACCTTCCAAGAAGGATGTAAGTTCAGAGGTTTCGATGTGTTGGAGAAGACAACACTTCTTGTTAAGGGCTATGTTGTAAGGAGAGATCCTGATATCTGGGAATACCCTGAGGAGTTTAAACCTGAGAGGTTTTTGTTGCCTTGTTCGAGATCATTTCAAGAGGATGAGATCAAAGAGGAAATCCTGAAATATCTTCCTTTCGGAAGTGGAAGAAGAGGCTGTCCTGGATCAAATATAGCTTATCTTTCTGTTGGAATCGCGGTTGGGGTGATGGTGCAGTGTTTTGATTGGAAAATTGAAGGAGATAAGGTTAGCATGGAAGAGGTTCCTCGGGCAATGACATAAACTATGCCTCATCCCCTTAAGTGCACTCCTCTTCTTCGAAATCCAAACCCTTTACCTTTCAATGTGTAGAGTTCCAGTTTGTGTGTTCCAGCTCTTATTAATTCAATACACACTAGCTAGGAAGGACTATATCAATACCATTAAAACATAAATATTTTGTTTAATGAGTTTTTAATATTTTCCAAAATTACCCTTAATGATATAAACAAACTTTTATTTTCATTAATGATAATATAGTGTTTTGGTTTTTAGGCCTAAAAACAATATACTAATGTGTTTCATTAATAGGCTAAATTCACTTTCCAATTATTTATGAAGTTTCTTTCAAAAATATACACATCAGCCTTAATTGGAGTAGTTAGAGCATGAATTTTGATATTAGCCCGCGGGTTGACCCGCCACAGAGCAGGTCGATCGATTTGAAAAATTTTAAGTTGTGGGTGCGGGTCAAGGGTATTTTATGTGCGAAGGATGCCGGTTTTCTAATTTCAATTGCGGATACCCGGTAATCCGCAAAAATAGATTTTTTTAAAGTTTATTTTCAAAATATACTAAATTTCGTTAAAAATAATTCTATTTTTAAAAATATTAAAAATTAATTGAAAATTTACTATTTAGTATTATTTTTTAGAAAAATTAAAAAATAATTATTTTATTATTTAATAATTATCTGCGGGTCTCGCAGATTACCCGCAAAATTAAGTGGGACGGATACAAATAAAATATATTTTCTTTGCGGGTTGGACGGGGCAATGATGTCTTGCATATTTCCATAGTTTTAAACATCCATTTGCATGCATTGTGATCATATAGATTAGGATTCAGTCATTTTTAGGTTGCATTTTTTATACATTAGTCCTTATCAGGTGGTGGCACATGCTATGGAGTTTTTGGAGGTATTTGGACCAATCTTATGCCAAAAGAGAGCTATTTGGCGATATGAGAGACCAAAGCGGGGTCAGGCAGCGGAGGCATGGGGTCGGCTCACTCCAAAACGGATCCGTGCAGCAGGTGAGCAAGGCCGCTCGCCTTTACGAGACGAAACGAGAGATCATCGTTGCCAGCGGGGTCACGCAGCGGGGTCAGGTCGGCCCAAACCACAGCGGATCCACGCAGCGGGGTCGGAGGGCCGCTCGAATTCACGCGAAGAAATAAAGGAGCTTCGCAGCGGGGTTGTGACCCCGCTGTGCGCCTATTTTTGGACGAAAATAGGACTTTGAGGACCTTTTTGCAATTTTCGTTTTTTATGTTTTGAGTTTCAGAAACCTAATTAAAACTACGTTGTAAGCCGTTTAGGCAGATTATCTTTTTTTCTAAGAGTAAAACACAAAAACCTTTGGGGAAAGTTCATCTTCTAGATCATTATTCGCATTGTTTACTTGTCTACTTTATCGTCCATATCATATATTAATTAACTGAAGAAAAAACTTAAAAATGAAAGTTATAAATTTACACAATATATGATACTAAAATGTAAATCATATATTTAAAATATTTACAATAATGTCCAATGTATATTTTATAAAATAAAAATAGTATATACGCACGAATGTGCGGATCGGATTCTAGTAATTCATTATAGCTAACATTGGTTGCTATAACTTTTAACTTACTAATAATTATATCTTAAAGTAATAGTATCTTTTAATCATTCACTCCGCAGAGAGCGCATAATATCACATACTATAAAACTATTACAATAAAACCTCTATAAATTAATAAAAGGGGACTTTGAAATTTTATGAATTTATAGAGATTAATTTACCAATGTTTCCTTATTTAGATCTTTTTATTTTAAAATATATTTATTCTAAGATAATAAAGAATATTTGATTTTAGTGTATAGGCATTATTAATATTTTTTAAAATTTGATATTTATATTCATTTTATTATAATAGTTGGTGTATATAACATATATTACATAGAACTTAAATGTGGGTTTAGATATAAGATTATTAAATCCCATTAAAATATATTAAGTGTTAAAAATATAAAGATAATTCTATTGTGAATATAAAACAAACAACATAATGATAGGTTCTTACTTTTGAAAATTTAAATCCATAGATTTTTGAAAGCAACATGAATTACCTTCCCACCAACTCCCCTATATTAAATGCTCTTATGGGCGATAATCACGGTTAAACAAATTATTAAACAATTAATTTGATCATTTGTGTATTGTTAAAACTTAAAAGAAAGACTTCCGCACTCAATTATTTCACGCCCTTGCATAAATAAACAATTGATAAGTGATTCTTGACAGAAGAACACTCACTCTGAGTAACAATGGCAGCAAGAACCATCGTTGACTTTCAAAACTCTTCGAGCTGTAGACTAAACATTACTTATTTAAATATATATTATATGGAAGATATATAAAACTATTATTATATCTTTACGTTAGCTAATAATGTAAGAAATATTATATTTATGTATATGAACTAATATTTCTTGCCCATAATGTGGTATTATGTTAATCTATTTATTATTGAAATTGTTAAACCTTAAGAACATTTGATAACCAATAAAATGGTAATCAAAAGAGTTTAATTTTCTAATGACTTAACTAATGAACAAATGATTTATGTTCTAGAAATTTTTTCACTTAAGTGACTCATGAAACATGTGTCAATATTAAGAAGACATTTGAAGTAAGTTCAATGCATCAAAGGAGAACAAATTCAATGTATGAATCAGTCTTTTACATATCTAAACACTTGTCATTACTCAACTATGATGAATGGTTGAGATTAAAGATTAAACTTGTCAAAAAAAATAATGAAAACTTGGTAAGGAAGTAATAGAAACTTGATGAGGAAGTTTGGTCTCTCTCTCCACCTATATATAGTAAGTCTTTGGAACATCAGTTTTAATAGATCAGAGACATAGCACGAACTAAAATATATCATTATCTTTTCTTTATTTAGAAAAATTAACACAACCAGGATATTAATCCTGACTATTCACCAAGTGTTACATGCAAAAAAGTTTTCTACCTCTCTGTGATAACACAATTTCCTCTATAAAAAAGATACTATCATTGTTCTGAAAAGGAAAAGAATTGTGGCCAGAAGTTTTGAAAATTTTACAAGAGTCTTACCTATGTTTTGTGTTTGTAGGCGTAAATTCATTTATATAAGACGATAAATTTAATCCAACAAAGGATATACGTCATCCTCCTATACAAAGCCAGAGATATACATACACTTATAAAATGCTCGTAGTTGTCTCTTTGGGCGATAATCACGGTTAACCAAATCATTAAACAATTTATTTGATCAAGAAGTGTTGTCGTAGAGAAAAAAAACTTCAGCATTCAATTATTGCACGCCTGCCCTTGCATAAATAAACAATTGATAAGTGATTCTAGACAGAAGAACACTCAATCACTTTGAGTAACAATGGCAGCAAGAACCATCGTTGACTTTCAAAACTCTTCCATCTTTATTCTCCTTTGCCTCTTTTCATGCCTCTGTTACTCTTTCTTCTTCTTCAAGAAACGAAATTCACAAGGTTGTGATCTGCCGCCTAGCCCTCCATCTCTTCCGATCATTGGTCATCTTCACCTTCTCCTCTCTCCTCTAAACCACAAATCTTTTCAGAAACTCTCCTCCAAGTACGGACCTCTCCTCTATCTTCGCGTCTTCAACGTCCCCATAATCCTCGTCTCCTCTGCCTCAATAGCCTATGAGATCTTCAAGACGCAGGATGTGAACGTTTCTACTCGCAACCTCCCTACCAACGAAGGGTCTCTCTTCTTTGGATCTTCCGGCTATGCCACCGCACCTTACGGAGGTTACTGGAAATTCATAAAGAAACTCATCACCACTAAGCTCTTTGGACCTCAGGCTCTGGAGAGGTCACGAGGCATCCGTGCAGATGAGGTAAATCGGTTTTACTTGAACCTTGTAGACAAGGCAACGAAGAAGGAGACAGTCAAGATCGCTGAGGAAGCTATGAAGCTAATAACCAACAGCATATGTAAGATACTTATGGGAAAGAGTTTTTCAGAGGACGGAGAGAAAGTGAGGGGGTTAGTGTCTGAAACAGGTGTCATGTCAAAGAAGTTTTTCTTGGCGGCTATTTTGCGCAAGCCGCTTGCCAAGCTTGGGATCTCGCTTTTCAAAAAGGATTTAGACAGTATTTCTCGCAGGTACGATGAGGTGTTCGAGAAGAGCATTTTGGAATGTGAGGAGCATAATCAAAGTTCTGAGATGTTGGCGGTAAGTGGAATGACCTAAGTCACTGATATCTTACTTAAGTCTCTTTCATATTTCCAATGTGAGATATTCTCTCTGACAGGCGCTTTTGGAAGCTTGTCAAGGTAAAACAGGAGAGTATAAGATCACAAGGAACCATATCAAGTCCTTGTTCGTGGTAAAAAAAACTTCCTATGTTTTATGTGGATTTATTAATAAAAAAGTCAATGGTTAAAAAAAAAAAAAGAAACCAATGGATGTCCTCCTCACTATGCTTCTACAGGACATTTTAGTTGCAGGTACTGACACCTCAACGAATGCTATACAGTGGACCATGGCAGAGATTTTAAACAACCCTAAGATTCTTGAGAGACTGAGAGAAGAAATCGATTCGGTCACCGAAAAAACAAGGTTGATTCAAGAAACAGATCTACCCAACCTTCCTTATTTGCAAGCTGTCGTCAAGGAAGCACTGAGATTGCACCCATCGGTACCTGTTGTGTTAAGGTCCTTCCAAGAAGGATGTAAGTTCAGAGGCTTTGATGTGTTGGAGAAGACAGCACTTCTTATCAACGGCTATGCTATAATGAGAGATCCAAATATCTGGGAATACCCTGAGGAGTTTAAACCTGATAGGTTTTTGTTGCATTCTTCGAGATCATTTCAAGAGGACATTATCAAAGAGGAAGTCCTGAAATACCTTCCCTTCGGAAGTGGAAGGAGAGGCTGTCCTGGATCAAATCTAGCTTATCTTTCTGTTGGAACCGCGGTTGGAGTGATGGTGCAGTGTTTTGATTGGAAAATCGAAGGAGATAAAGTTAACATGGAAGAGGTTCCTCGGACAATAACTTCGACTATGGCTCATCCCCTTAAGTGCACTCCTCTTCTTCGGAATCTAAACCCTTTTCCTTCCAATGTGTAGATTTCCAGTTTGTGCGTCCCAGTTCTTAGTAATTTGATACACACTTAAGGAATTACTAGGTGGACGTATGTACGGGCATTAATATAATCTATACATTACATGTATAAAAATTAATATGAGTGTATAAAACAATGTATTATAACTCTCTTTCTCTTTTACATAGGTAATTCATTTTTCTTTATATATCTTTCTATTTTACTCATTTCGTTTTTTCTTATGTTTTGTCATATACATTCGTTCTGTCTCTTCGGTATCTCTCTTTCTGTTCTTTTTATCTGTCTTTGTATTTCTACGGCTCTTTCCCTTTCTCTCTCTCTTTCTTGTTTAAATAATCTCAACATTTCTCAAACTTACATTCACTCCTCACAATCATTTATATTCACTTTTTACTCTCATTTTTACTATAAGCCTCAATATTTCACTTTTAAACTCTCTCTATCTCTCTTTGGTTGCAAAGTTTTCAATAGATTTTGTTAAATTTTCAAAATACAGTGAAACCTTTATAAATTAATAAATACACCAAAATTTTCTTTTTATTAATTTAGAGAGATATTAATTTATTGATATATTAATCGGATCAAAAACTCAATTTGGGACTATATAATTATATTATTTTATAGAGATATTTAGTGTATATTAATTTATCGTGTATTAATTTATAGAGGTTTTATTGTACTCTCACATAATATTAATAAATAATTTCATGATCTATCTCACTTACATCAAGTCTCTCACTTATATTCACTCTCATTTTCATTATGATATATATATATATATATATATATATATATAACTATTATTATATCATTACTTTAGCTAATATGGTAGACAAAAGATAATATAAATCCCAAAAGAATCCACTACATTCCACACAACAAAATATATAACTTATTTAAATATATATTATATGGAAGATAATATGGAAGATATATAAAACTATTATTATATCATTACTTTAGCTAATAATGGTAGACAAAAGTTAATACAAATCCCAAAAGAATCCACTACATTCCACACAACAAAATATATAGCTTATTTAAATATATATTATATGGAAGATTATATGGAAGATATATAAAACTATTATTATATCATTACTTTAGCTAATAATGGTAGACAAAAGGTAATATATATTATATGGAAGATATATAATGGTAGACTAAACATAACTTATTTAAATATATATTATATGGAAGTATATAAAACTATTACAGTAAAACCTTTATAAATTAATAAAACTAGATTTTATTAATTTATAGAGATGTTTATTTACGAACGTTTCCTTATTTCAAATTTTTATTTTAAAATATATATTATTATAAGATAATAAAAAATATTTGATTTTAGTGTATAGGCATTAATTATTATTTTAATTTTTTTGACATTTATATTAGTTTATTATAATATTTGGTGTATATAATATATATTACACAGAATTTAAATGTGTTAAATGTGGGTTTAGATATAAGATTATTAAATCTCATTAAAATGTTAAGATTATTTACAGAAAATTTACTAAGAAATTATTATCTTATTCTTTTATTAATTTGTGTTAAATTTTGAACCGACCTAACTAAAAACCGATAAAATTTATTAATTTATATAGATTAATAATTTATTGATTATTAATTTATTTAAATATATATTATATGGAAGATAATATGGAAGATATATAAAACTATTATTATATCATTACTTTAGCTAATAATGGTAGACAAAAGTTAATACAAATCCCAAAAGAATCCACTACATTCCACACAACAAAATATATAGCTTATTTAAATATATATTATATGGAAGATATATAAAACTATTATTATATCAGTACTTTAGCTAATAATGGTAGACAAAAGGTAATATATATTATATGGAAGATATATAATGGTAGACTAAACATAACTTATTTAAACATATATTATATGGAAGATATATAAAACTATTACAGTAAAACCTCTATAAATTAATAAAACTGGATTTTATTAATTTATAGAGATGTTAATTTACGAACGTTTCCTTATTTCAAATTTTTATTTTAAAATATATATTATTATAAGATAATAAAAAATATTTGATTTTAGTGTATAGGTATTAATTATTATTTTAAATTTGTTTACATTTATATTAGTTTATTATAATACTTGGTGTATATAATATATATTACACAGAATTTAAATGTGGGTTTAGATATAAGATTATTAAATCTCATTAAAATGTTAAGATTAGTTACAGAAAATTTTCTAAGAAATTATTATCTTACTGTTTTATTAATTTGTGTTAAATTTTGAACCGGCCTAACTAAAAACCGATAAAATTTATTAATTTATATAGATTAATAATTTATCGATTATTAATTTATTTAAATATATATTATATGGAAGATAATATGGACGATATATTAAACTATTATTATATCATTACTTTAGCTAATAATGGTAGACAAAAGTTAATAAAAATCCCAAAAGAATCCACTACATTCCACACAACAAAATATGTAGCTTATTTAAATATATATCATATGGAAGATTATATGGAAGATATATAAAACTATTATTATATCAGTACTTTAGCTAATAATGGTAGACAAAAGGTAATATATATTATATGGAAGATATATAATGGTAGACTAAACATAACTTTTAAATATATATTTTATGGAAGATATATAAAACTATTACAATAAAACCTCTATAAATCAATAAAACTGGATTTTATTAATTTATAGAGATGTTAATTTATGAACGTTTCCTTATTTCAATTTTTTTTAAATATATAATATTATAAGATAATAAACAATATTTGATTTTAGTATATAGGTATTAATTATTATTTTAAATTTTTGACATTTATATTAGTTTATTATAATATTTGGTGTATATAATATATATTGCACATAATTTAAATGTGGGTTTAGATATAAGATTATTAAATCTCCTTAAAATGTTAAGATTATTTACAGAAAATTTTCTAAGAAATTATTATCTTATTATTTTATTAATTTGTGTTAAATTTTGAACCGACCTAACTAATAACCGATAAAATTTATTAATTTATAGAAATTATTAATTTATCGATTATTAATTTCTAGTGATTATACTGTAGTATCATTACTTTAGCTAATAATGGTAGACAAAAGTTAATACAAATCCCAAAAGAATCCACTACATTCCACACAACAAAATATATGGATTCTATAATAAGATAATAATTACCTTCCCACTAACCCCCCCCCCTATAATATGCTCTTATGGGTGATAATCACGGTTAAACAAATTATTAAACAATTAATTTGATCATGTGTGTATTGTTAAACCCTAAAAGAAAGACTTCCGCACTCAATTATTTCACGAGTTCTTAAGTTCACCCCTCTAAGTTTACCAATCAATAGGATAATGTTATTTCATATTTGATATCTTTTTAAAAAAGGAAAAAATATTTTGTTAAGTTATATTATATTTTTAAAATAAAAATACAAAATAAATAAAAATAATAATATTACAAAAACGGAGAAAAAAATCTTTAGAAAAATATTTTAAAAAAATCTTTATAAAAATATTTTAACACAAAAACAATAAAACCTAATCACAAACCCTAACTCTTGGATAAATACATAATATAATGTTAAAATATTTTTTTAAAGAATTTTTTATTTTATTTTGGGACAGTCTTATTTCACGCCCTTGCATAAATAAACAATTGATAAGCGATTCTGGACAGAAGAACAGAACACTCACTCACTTTGAGTAACAATGGCAGCAAAAACCATCGTTGACTTGCAAAACTCTTCAATCTTTATCCTCCTTTGCCTCTTTTCATGCCTCTGTTACTCTTTCTTCTTCTTCAAGAAACGAAATTCACAAGGTTGTGATCTGCCGCCTAGCCCTCCGTCTCTTCCCATCATCGCTCATCTTCACCTTCTCCTCTCTCCTCTACTCCACAAATCTCTACAGAAACTCTCCTCCAAGTACGGACCTCTCCTCTATCTCCGCGTCTTCAACGTCCCCATAATCCTCGTCTCCTCTGCCTCAATAGCCTATGAGATCTTCAAGACTCAAGACGAGAACGTTTCCACTCGCTACCTCCCCACGAACGAAGGCTCTCTCTTTTTCGGATCTTCTGGCTTCGCTATCGCACCTTACGGAGATTACTGGAAATTCGTAAAAAAGATCTTCACCACCAACCTCCTTGGACCTCAGGCTCTCGAGAGGTCACGAGGCATCCGTGCGGCTGAGGTAAACCGGTTTTACTTGAACCTTGTAGACAAGGCAACGAAGAATGAGAGCGTTGAGATTGCTGAGGAAGCTATGAAGCTAATAACCAACAGCATGTGCAAGATGCTTATCGGAAAGAGTTTTTCAGAGGACGAAGAGAAAGTGAGGGGCTTACTGGATGAAACAGATGTCATGTCAAAGAAGTTTTTCTTGGCGGCTATTTTACGCGAGCCGCTTGCCAAGTTTGGGATCTCGCTTTTTGAAAAGGATTTAGCCAGTATTTCCCACAGTTACGATGAGGTGTTGGAGAAGAGTCTTTTGGAATGTGAGGAGCATAATCAAAGTTCTGAGTTGTTGGCGGTAAGTGGATCGACCCAAGTCACTGATATATTACTTAAGTCTCTTTCGTATTTCCAATGTGAGATATTCTCTCCGACAGGCGCTTTTGGAAGCTTGTCAAGGTAAAACAGGAGAGTATAAGATCACTAGGAACCATATCAAGTCCTTGTTCGTGGTAAAGAAAAAAGATAATTTCCTCTGTTTATGTGTGGATTCGTTAATCAAGAAACCAATTCTTTTTTTTTTTCAAGAAACCAATTCAGTACTAAGGAAATATTCTTCTCCAGGATTTTTTCATTGCAGGTACGAGCAACTCAACCAATACTATAAAGTGGACCATGGCAGAGATTTTCGAAAACCCAAAGATTCTTGAGAGACTGAGAGAAGAAATTGATTCGGTCATCAAGAAAACAAGGTTGATTCAAGAAACAGATCTACCTAACCTTCCTTATTTGCAAGCTGTCGTCAAGGAATCACTGAGACTGCACCCATCGTCAACTCTTCTGTTAAGGAACTTCCAAGAAGGATGTAAGGTAAGAGGCTTCGATGTGTTGGAGAAGACAGCACTTGTTGTTAACGGCTATGCTGTAATGAGAGATCCAGATGTCTGGGAATACCCTAATGAGTTTAAGCCTGAGAGGTTTTTGCCTTCTTCAAGATCATTTCAAGAGGACGAGACAAAAGAGGAGGTCCTAAAATACCTTCCTTTCGGAAGTGGAAGGAGAGGCTGTCCTGGATCAAATCTAGCTTATCTTTCTGTTGGAACCGCGGTTGGAGTGATGGTGCAGTGTTTTGATTGGAAAATCGAAGGAGATAAGGTTAACATGGAAGAGGTTCCTCGGACAATGACGTCGACTATGGCTCATCCCCTTAAGTGCACTCCTCGTCTTCGGAATGTAAAACCTTTGATTTCCATTGTGTAGATTTCCAGTTTGTGTGTTCCAGATCTTATTAGTTCTATTTGGGGTGTTCAATCCGTATGTGGGTTCGGTTTTTTTTTTCAGTTTGTAAAAATTTGCTACCATAATAATATCATATCTACTTTGGTTTAGTTCGGTTTATACCAACGATTTTTATTTTATTTTTAGTTTTATACCAAAAACTATAACTATATTTATCTTTTTGATAAATTTTAGTTTCTATGATTAGAAATCAGATTTGTTAAAATATATAATATGTCTCGTACTTAATAAGATTTTAAATCCACTATAAAAGATATATCCTGGTTCTGGAAAGGAAAAGAATTGTGGCCAGAAGTTTTGAAATTTTGCAAGAGACTTACCTGTGTTTGTGTGTGTAGCCGTTAACTCATTATATAAAAAAGAACAGAAACTCATTCCAATAATCATAAATTTAATTTACCAATAGGCCAAAACTCATTGTATATTTAGAAGGAAACAATAAATTATCTACACTAAAATAATAATAGTATTAATCATTACAAAATCTATAAATTAAAATGCATAACATAAATAAAATTCATTTACTTAAAATTACAAATAAAATATTTTTTTGATTCTATGTAGTATATAAGCAATTTAATCAATTTCAAAAAATAAAATTAAATTTTATGGGTTTTTCTGGGTCAACCGATGCTTAATGATTTCTTTGATTTTATCAAATTTTTATTTAATAGGTCTTTATTAAATCCATTTTTTATTGAAACATATTGGTTGATAGAATATCTAATAGATTCTACATGAAGAAATATAAGCTAATCCGAATTATATATGGTCATCAGGTTTACATATTTAACGCGGTAAATATATGTACTCCCTTCCCCCTTAAAAAGAGTTAAATTATTTGTAAATATAGAGTGTGTTCTTTACACCATTTAATTGTAGATGTACGATTAGTCCTTAGCAATCGGTTTTAGTTTGGTTTTGGTATTTTGGTGATTTGATTCTAGAAATGTAGGAACATTAATGTATTTACAAAATTTGATTTGATCATAGTTGAGTTTATTTCAATTTTTGGTTATACCCAGCAAGAAGGTTAGGCACCAGCTAATATCCAAAAAAATTGGGTCTAATTCAATTTCGGTTCCATTCTGGGTTTTTAGGTAATTGTCGATTCATAGATAAAAATATCGGATAATCTAAGAGTTCATTTTAAATATTGGATAATTCAGGTAAAAATTTGGATAACTTAGGTAATTTTTAATATTTTGGGTAATCCTTTTGAGGTAATTTGGTTTATAAACAGTTATTTTTTATACTAGATTATTTAGAAATTAAATAATATTAATATTTTAGGTATATAATTTTTATTTGTTTGATTCCAGTGTTTCAGTTCCGAAAATATATCATATACTTAGTTATTATGAAAATCAGTTAAATTTTGATTTCATATTTTCAGTTGGTATGGTTCGATTTGCTGTTTTGGATAAATGTGTTGAAACCTATATACTATTTTATTATAAATTTAACTTTTTAATATTTACTAAAATTTTAAAATATCCCGCGCTTTTAAGCGCGGGTCAAAATCTAGTTCTATAATTAAGAGGCATACACTAATGAGGTAAACCGATACTCACGCAAGAAATGCAATAGAACCAGTCAAGCAAACTGGATCTCTCTTCGAAAATACTACTACACCACATTTTCCCGGTAAATATCTGCATATTTATATTTTAGTCGGATATAATAACTAAATTATGAAAACATACGAATTTGTTTAGTTAGGGTAAAACTTTTATTTCTTTAATTATATACTCAAAACTTAATATCATTGCAGATTTTGTACTGTATTAGTCAGTCCATCACATATAACTACAGATTCCAAATTAAATTCCAAATAAAGTGATTAGCATCAGCAACATAACACTCACATAAAGTTATATCCAAACCCATGTAAATAAGACAATCATAGATAAATTCATAAAACGCTTTGTGTTAGAAAAGACCTGAAAAAACTTTGCTAAATACTATTGAAAGGTCATATGTGTGTAATACGAAGACATTCTATGAAACAATTTTTCCTGATTCATTTTCGATCAGCTAACTCAGTATCGCTAAAGCTGCAAGTGACGGTGAATCCAGCTAATGATACTTCTAATTATCACGTCCTTATACGCTCGAATGTTAGATTTCAACAGACAAACAATGGAACACACGAATGATCTTGTAATCTCATTGCCATTAATGGATAAGTCTGCTACCTCTCTGTAATAACATTATATCCACTATAAAATATATAACATGGTTCTGAAAAGGAAAAGAATTGTGGCCAGCGTTTGAAAATTTTACAAGAGACTTACATAATGAGGTAAACCGATACTCAGACGATAAATACATTTAATCCCTTAAGCCATATCATGACAGTGAAGCATAGAACCAATCAACCAACTAGATCTCTTCAAAAAATCTAACATTTTCCGTAATATATTTGCATATTTATATTTTATACGAATATGAAATATACGTAATTAGTTTAGTTAGTGTAAAATGTATATCTTTATTTATATACTCAAAACAGATTTTGTGTGTTTACTAGTCAACTCATCATGTATGACTACAAATTTCAAATTAGATTCCAAATAAAGTGATCTATAATTAGATTTCAAATTATAGCTCATCATGCATCAACACAACCATCCACAAAAAGTAATCTATAACCCAAACACATATGAATAAGACAATCATAGATAACATCCTATAAACTCTCTATTTTTAAGAAGAGACCAAAAAAAACTTTGCAAAATACTATTGAAAGGTTTATTTAAATAAAGTACTTTAAATAACTTCATTTTTAAAAAAATAAACTTTGATGTGCATGCAATATGTAAACGTAACACACATCAACAATGTTAAATTTAAAAAAAAAAAACAATCGAGAAGTAAGAGGACAAGGCGTTACACATGACTAGAGTAGAGAACAAGTTTAATAAAGTTAAATTTTCATATATTTTTTTAATAAAGACTCTGTACATGTAGATACTGTTTTGTCTTTATCTACTACCTCCTCCACCCCAAAACGTCCGTTTGTCTTCTCCTTCTCTCTCCATTGCCACCCCATACAAAACTTCTATTATGGGTAACCAAAATTAAAAAAAAGCTTCAGCCTTTACCATTGAAAGCTCAAATCTTTTTACTCCCTGTTCCTTGAAGCTATCTACTTTCTACTCAAAGCTTTCATCTTGAGAAGTTTTTTTGGTCTCGACTCTGTTTTATCGATCCACATGATGGGTACTACTGATAGCTTTCTGCCATTCTCCAGGGAGAGGAACATGCGTACGTTTATTTACACACTGACACTTAACAATGGTTTTTGATTCTTACACACACACACATTGGTTTTGTCTCCGTGAGTCAATCTCTTAGCTGTAGAGTTTCCTTCCTGATTGTAAACATTGACATAAAAATCGTATCTTTTTGTGTTTGTGTGCTGAAATGAACTTCTTTGTGATGCAAATGTTTATGGATGGTGAAAAAGCTTGGATTTTGAGGTCGGGGAGCAAGAGGATTAGCCAATCAGAACTTGCTAAGCGTCCTGACCCGTTCTTTCTACCGGATCTGCTTGATGAGTTTGAAAAGAGTAAGTACGGATGGCTTGCTGATGATATAAGGAGACTCTGTGAGCTCAAAAGGAAACTCTTTAACGGTTCCGTCTCAGTTGAAGATGTCGAAAGTAGACAAAAGAAGAAGAAAAAGCCAGTCAAGTTTGTCGATGATGTTTTGTCTCAAGAATCTGTTACTGTAAGCTTTATTGCAGATATGGATGTTCATAAGTTTTAACTCTTTGTGATCTTTAACTATGAATATATGTGTTGTAGAAGAGCGGAGATTACTCAGGATCTGATGCAAGTCCTGAAAGTTATAACGAGGAGGATTCATCAAGGGTTCCTACTGATGATGACAATGGAACTGATCTGTATGGAGTTGGTGAAGAAGAAGAAGCAGAACTTTGGAGGCAAATGGCATTTGCTCAAGAATCATCTAAGGTTCGTCCACTTTTTGTACATAGACTAACGTATAGATTCAGCTTCAGAGCTTTGAGCTTTTCTGTGCATATCTTAGCGTTTTTCAGCTGTTTTTGTTTTGCCTATGTTAGGTAACGGTGGAGAATGTACAAGATATCGATCTCAATCAAGTTGAAGACTGTGAGCACTCCTTCATCTACAAGGATGATGTTGGAGAAGTGTGCCGTGTTTGTGGACTCATCAAGACTCCTATCGAAAGTATCATCGAAGTTGTGTACAACAAGGTTAGTGAATCACACACTTTGTTTTAGATCTTGACAACTTGAATCTTACTATCTTCCCTGATGTATATAGCCTAAGAGATCAAGAAGAACTTACACACGTGAAGAACAAGAAGACACAACAGAAACAAGGATAGACTTCACAGAAAACAAATCTTCTCACATTTTGGGAGACAAGATGTTCATCCACCCAAGGCATGACAATGAGATGAGGCCTCACCAGGTTGAAGGATTCAAGTTTCTATGCAACAACCTCGCAGCTGATGAGAATCCAGGTGGGTGCATCTTAGCTCATGCGCCAGGATCAGGCAAGACATTTCTCCTCATCAGCTTTCTGCAAAGCTTCATGGCTATGGATCCACAAGCTAAACCAATGATAATCCTCCCAAAGGGGATCATAGAGTCATGGAAGAGAGAGTTCACTAAATGGGCGGTTGAGGACATTCCTCTCCTTGATCTCTACAGCGTCAAAGCTGAATCAAGAAGACAACAACTGAAAGTCTTAAGAACATGGGTTGAAGAGAGAAGCATTCTGTTTCTAGGTTACCAACAGTTTGCTAAGATCATATGTGATGATAGTAACATAGATGAAGTCTCAGAAGATTGTAAACGGATCTTACTTGAGAAGCCAACGTTGCTTATACTCGACGAAGGTCATCAATCGAGGAACAAGGAAACAAACATGCTTATCTCTCTTGCTCGTGTCAAGACTCCTAGAAAAGTTGTTCTCACTGGGACATTGTTTCAGAACAACGTTGAGGAAGTGTTCAACATTCTAAACTTAGTTCGTCCCAAGTTCTTGAAGCTGAATCAAGAGATTGTTTCACGTATCATGAGCAAGGCGGAGATACCTAGTGGTAAACATGTGAACCAGAGTAGTACTTTCTTCGCTGCGGTGGAGCTTACATTGATGAATAACAGTACAGAGAGTTCAGCTAAAGGTAGTTTGATTAAGGATCTACGTGAGATGACACGTCATGTGTTGCATTATCACAAAGCAGACTTCAGAGGATTGCTTCCAGGGCTTACTGAGTTCACTGTGATGCTTAACTTGAGTTCACCTCAGAGAGATGAAGTGAAAGGTCTGAGGGGAATGGATTTGTTTAAACAGATCTCTCTTGGTGCTGCTTTGTATATACACCCAAAGCTTAAAAGTTTCCTGGAGGCAAAAGGAGAAAAGGGTTTTGCTGATAGCAAGAAGCTAGATAACTTGCTGAAGAAGATTAACGTTAAAGACGGTGTGAAGATGAAGTTCTTCCTCAACCTCATAGCTCTGTGTGAATCAACAGGAGAGAAGCTATTAGTGTTTAGCCAATACATCATCCCTCTCAAGACACTTGAGAGACTCCTAAGCTTGACTAAAGGCTGGAGGTTAGGGAAAGAGATGTTCACAATCACAGGAGATTCAAGCAGCGAGGATAGAGAACTGTCCATGGAGAGATTCAACAACTCTTCAGAGGCTAAAGTGTTTTTTGGATCGATCAAAGCCTGTGGAGAAGGAATATCACTGGTAGGTGCATCAAGGGTGCTGATTCTTGATGTTCCTTTAAACCCTTCAGTGACTCAGCAAGCTGTGGCTAGAGCTTATAGACCAGGACAGACCAGGAGAGTGTATGCGTACAGGCTTGTGGCTGCGGATTCACCAGAGGAAGAGTGCCATGAGACGTGTTCAAGGAAAGAGATGATATCAAAGATGTGGTTTGAATGGAATGGTGGATGTGGAGGAAGAGATGAGTTTGGGTTTAGAGCTATGGATGTTGATGGCTCCGGAGATGTGTTTCTTGAGACGACGAAGATGAAGGAAGATATCAAGTGTTTATACACTAGGTGAAAGAAGTCAGTTTGATAACCGAGTCTAACCGGTTACTGATTTAAGGGTAAATCAGAGTACAATTTTATTTTAGAATTATCTTTTGTGTTTATGAGCTGGACGTAGCGTCCAAGTTTTAATTGGACTAATCGCATTTTAATTAAATCAAAATGTTTTAGTAGTGGATTAGTGCCGTTTCTCTTACTAATAAGCTAGTGTGAATGCATGTTATATGGTTCAGCACGATGTGAATCTAATTTGATTTACGAAAACAGATCCTTTTAAATTGGCAGAACCAGAAGATTAACACACACACTCCAGTTCACTTAACAATTAAACAAAGAGAGACCATAAATTTATCAAGTGGTGTCTCCGTTTTGCAGACAAGAAACAGAGTATATGAGAGGCAAAAGCAGAGCAACCTTTGACTTGACTCTGAGACTTACTGTAAGGCGGAGAGTTCCAATGAGGTTTTAAGCTTATACAATGCTCTGACTGATTCAAAGTTTCAAACGCTTTAATACAAAAACTAGATTTTGATCCGCGCAACCGTGCGGGTGTTTGTTTTCGTTTATAGTTAGTTCTATAACATTTTGTTTTCACTTGTAAATTTGTATATATTATAGTAATTACATATTTACAATGTTTATAGTAAACGTTTTTCAAACATAATAATATTATATAATACGTGTTTTAATCAAATAGATTGTTTCAAATTTTCTATATTATACTTGTTTTTCAAACATGTGTTTGTTTTTTCTTCTATTTTATTGTTTGTTAGATTAGTATGTTATTTTTAAATAAAGTAAGATAAATAGATATTGATTAAATATTAGTATACTTTAATTTGTAAAGATAATAAAATATGTTGAAGGTGTGGGAGTAATTTACTCAAACTAAATGTATCTTCATAAATAATAGAAGATTCCTAAACTTATATCTATTGACATATTTTGCGTTATCGGAGGGTGAATATTTTGTTAGATCTATTCCACATATATATAAAAATTCCATATTACGAATCTGTGATTTTTGTTAATATATCGTGGATACATTTTACTATTATTGACATATTTCCTTATAAATAATAGAAGATTCATAAACTTATATCTATGGACATATTTTTCGTGACTAAGTTAGAAGGTGTGAAGTAATTTGCCCAAACCAATTTTTTAAGCGTATGTTTGTTATTATAGATATGATTTTTCATAACATATAATAATGATAAGATTAGAGAATTTAATATAACTCTCATTTCTAGGAATAAGTCCAAAATTTAAAATATCACACATGAAGTCAAGTCATGACTTCTGTTTTAATATATAAGATTCTTTACAGAATGTTTTTTCTTCTTTCGAAATAAGCTTAAGCTGCTCCATCATATCATTATGAACGACAGAGACACATACAAAAAGCTACACGTTGACAAAATTAGAAGGTTTTACCCCGAAAAATAGACGGATATGCCTCCTGTTCTTGCCTTGCATACATCGCAGAAAGAAGACAAGCCACAACATCTGCATCACTGATGCAACAAAATACTCATAGGAGTGAGAGAACACAGACAAATTGCACAGGAAAACTCCAAGACAGTAAGACTTCGGCAGTATGAACATAATGCTAAGATGATAATAATTTGTAACAATAACATTTGATTTGAGAAATTGCCTCAACCAAAAAACATCAAGAGAGGCTATCTTTGTAAGATACAAATACAAAAAAGGTACAGAAACAAGCTATGGGAAACAGCTCAGTAACAGATAGCGAGCTGCTCTTCTCGTTTATCATCCAACCCATAATCCAAGCTTAACTCTGTTAACGGAGAGATATTCTCCAGTGCAAAAAGCATGACCCGAGGGAACATCAAGTTACTATGGTCATATAGTACAAACTGCGCCATCACATTTGGTTCTTTACTGTGACTAATATAAGAAGCCACGTTTCTCAACTTCGACACATCCATTGCAAAATCAACCGGCGGCAGAGAAGGATAACTCGGTTGAACATAATCAGGATAAACCTGAGATAAATCACCCCATAACCTCCATTTCTCGGCGAACCGACCCGGATAAACCAGAGGATCCCCATTCATCGACACAATCTCAGCTTGATCTTTAGTAAGAACCACACCAGCATACTCACAAATAAACATCCCAGCATGAATAAAATCCAATGTCCTAACACCCCACCCTGTCTCCCTAGATCTAAAAACCTCCAGCCTCTTACTCAACCCCTTCTGCGTCACACGGTTCTGACAACTCGGACCACACGAACACAAAACCCCACACTCAAACACCACAGGCTTCCCTCTCAACAAAGTCCCATCCTCATCATAAGGAAGCTCACCACCATTCCTCCTCATACACAAACAATCATTACCACAGGAGAATTTACAATCACAACCACGGTTATCCCCCCCTCCGTGAGAAGAAACCACACTAGTATTAATAGCAGACCTCACAATATAGTCATACCCCTCCGGTCCACGATCAAAATCAATATCATTAAACAAATAAACCGGAACACACTCCTTCCCACCAGAGAGATTAAAACTCAAATACCCATTAGGCCTAACAACCAACGGCTTACTCCTAAGCCCTTGAGCAAACCTCATCCTCTTACTCCCCATCTCACCCTGCCCTCCAATCCTAACCAACTTAAACTTAAAAACCCCAAACCCCGACTTCCCAACATCAAACCAATACTCAACAATCCTATACAACCCATCATACACATAAACCTTAGAGCTCACCACATTATCATACCTCACCCCACGAATCACCCTAACCTCAATCCCATAATGCATACTCCTCTCCATCGCAAGGTTCCCACTTTCCAACCTCTGATGCTGACACTGCCTATGAAACTTATCCTGCCCACCGTGCCCGGAGTAAACAAGAACCTCCCCTGTGTCCTCATCATCCTCATACCCACCGGAGACAATCACACTAGTAGCTATCGGCTCACCGTTCGAGCTCCGGTGCGCCGTCAGATAATCGATTCCGGCTTGCGGCTGCCCGTGGAGGCCCACGACGCAGAGCTCTAAGCGGTAGAGAAACATGTCGCCGATCTCGACGCCGGGGATGGGGCCGACGACGTGTTTGTCTTGGTTGAGCCAGAGGCCGCGTTGCCTCATCAAAGTCGAGGCCTTTATGTCGGCTCGGGGCTTGCGGCGGCGGCCGGGGAGGCGCATCTCCTCGGCGACGAGGTGGAGGCGGAGAGAGGAGTAGATTGTTCGGGTGAGGGTGAGGATCTCTCTGTGGTGTTTGTGGTCGTGGGGGTTTAGGGAGGTGACGCGGGCGAGCTCTTGTGGTCTCTGGAAGGGGAGACGGGAAGAGGAGGAGGAGGAGGAGAGAGAGTGGGTGTTTCCGGTTTGGTCCGGTACGGGGACGATTGCGAGGGGATTGGAATCCGGTTTAGAGAGTGGGATACGGTTAGCCAATGCGGAGGTGACACGTTCGCAGAGGCTGTAGTATTCGGAGTAGATATCGGAGTATGGAGGAGGGGAAGGAGGGGGAGGGGTATGATCGTCAATTGGTTCGGACTTGACGTGGAGTGACATCACGGAGGCGGAGGAGGTTACGGAGGGGGAGAGGTTGAGGTCTGGAAATGAGAATTGAGTGTTCATTTCTCCCTCCTAAAAGTGAAGCGGTGGTGACGGGAAGGAAAAAATACACCACCTGGGCTTTGGGCCAAGATCCGGATCCGGATCCGATTTTGAGGGTTTTGGAAAATGTTTTCAGTATTGTTGTAACTTGTGTTGTTTCTGTTGATTGGAGAAAAGGGAATTTGAAATTGGAAGTATAAACTATTCAACACTCTGTTTTTTTTTTTATATTAAGGTCTTTTTATTTACAAGGTAATCTTTCAGTTTTGTATATTTTTATTTGGTATATCAAAAGGTTATATAGTTTGATTCTGTATTTAAATTATACTTCCCACTGTTTCATTATAAGTGTCACTCTACAGCTGTGCACACGGATTAAGAAAACAATTAATTTTATATATTTCATATATAAAAACACAGTTACCCATACAACTAACCATATTTTAACTAATAGAAAAATAATTTACATAATAAAATTAATAAATATTGCATTGACCGAAAACGACACTTATTTTGTAACGCAAAAAATTCTCTACAATGACACTTAATATGAAACGGAGGGAATATTATGTTAACAATAATTAGGTATCTATTTAATTGAAAATTTTAAGGTATAATAATAACGCATACTCCTTATGTTTCATTTTAGTTATCATTTTTAGATTTGAATACACAAATTAAGAAAACATTTAATTTTATAGATTTTCTAAATAAAATCATTATTATCTATATATGCAACCATATTTCAATCTATTAGAAAATCCTATAAACAATCATATATTCTCTCCGTTTCATATTAAGTGTCGTTGTATAGAATTTTTTCCTTATAAAATAAATGTCGTTTTCGGTTTTCAATGTAGAATTTATTAATTTTATTATGTTGTTTATTTTTCTATTGGTTAAAATATGGTTAGGTGTATAGGTAACTATGTTTTTATATAGAAAATATGTAAAATCAATTGTTTCTTTAATCCATGTGCACAACTTTAAAGTGACATTTATAATGAAACATAAGGAGTATTATATTAATAAATTATGCATTAAATTATAAAACGGCATTTATTTTGAAACGGAAATTTTACTGTGATAGAGACAACTAAAATGAAATATACTCAGTATTGAATTACAAAATACAATGACACATCAGTATAGAAAATAAAAAAAATACATAACATTATAACTACATCTAATCATTTGATAATCTATTTATTAGAACAGTTAAATCTTACTTGCATTATTAAGGTTAAAAAGTTAAAATAAAATATATTTTAAATTTTAAATAAAGAGAAATTAAAGGATTAATCAGTTTTGTCTTAAAAACAATGAAAGTGTTTGACAAGTCCTGTCTGAGAAAATGTCCATGGGGATACTCCACTTTGACAAGTCCTGTCTGAGAAAGGATTTGTTTGAAAATCGACTGACGCAGAAGTCATAACAAAGAAATGAATACGAGTGGATTTTGGAGAACCAGTCATGCTCACATATAGATTTGTTGATGCCAGTAACAACACATTAGCAAAGTTTTTTTGATTATTTTTTAAAAAATTGTCGTGAGTTGTATGGATGACTGAACTGAAATGATCAATCTTCTGAAGTTGCGTTGTAGCTTTTGGGGTAAAGATCTAACCAGACAACGTTATAACAAAAGTAAGATTATTTTTCATAGAAAAATACTAATAGAAGGAGCACTCAATTCATGAAGGATACACAATATCTTGTAATATTATCATCTTAGGCTGTGTTCCAAAAAAAAAAAAAAAAAAAAAAAATATCATCTTAGGCTATGGAACCAGATGGAATGTTCATGGAAGCTGCTTCATTATCTTATGAGATGCTTAAGCTTGGACATGAACTCTCTCAACCCCTACCATTGCAGATGAACATCTGGTAACATATAGCTTGTAAACATTTTTATGCTTCTTCATAGATGATCCAAGTATCCAAACCCAAGGACATGAATGTAACAGTGAGGAACCTTAAAAGCATTCATGTCTTGATTGGCTTTTTGAGATTCTTGACAATCTAGTATCATCTGTGACAGAAACTACCTCTATCTGTTCTAATCCTTCTTGGTCACAAAATCTCATTTTCTGAACTACAATCTTAACTGACACTGATTCTTGTTTATGTGTGTGCTTCGGCATCTCTTTCTCTACGGTAAGCAAAAAATTCCTGACCAACTACTCTCCCTACACGTCTATTCTTCCTACTTCTCTTACTCAAACCTCTCTTCCCTTCTCTCTCAAACCCAGGCTCTGACATTGGAACATAATGAATAAACCACAAAGGCAACATAGCTGCTAAAGACTGAATCAAGATTCCTGCAGGCAAGTTTGCATAGTTATTACATGTAACACCAATCACATTAGCCATCCCAACTCCAGCAAATCCACTAACTATTGATGACAAACACAGAGTTGAAGCTAAGAAAGAAGTAATGGATCCTTCACAGCCTCCAGGGCACATATTTGCTAGCAAGACAGAGAATGGGAGAATCTTGAACTGTGCAAGAATCTCAGCTACACTTGAAAAGCATAACACAAAAGCCTTGTTGGAGATTCCAAACGATAAGTTTATTTGCTTCACCAAGATGTAGTCAAAGAGTAACGACAATGCATATAGGAGCTGAACTATATGGACCATTGGCCTCATGGGAAGCGTCTTCTTCAAGTAACGATCATAAACCACAGTTAAACAAAGAAGCATCAACTGTCCAATAACCTTTGACATTCCAATAACAGAAGGATCAAGGTTAAGTACTTGAGTTTGGTAACAGAAGACTGATCCTGAGAGAAGAGGCACCAATGCAATGGAAGCTATGATCCAAGTTAAAGGCTGAGAGATCTCATCTCCCTGAAAAACTCCCATAAGATCAGAGAACTGTTTCTTTAAGCTTGTCTCTCTTATCCGTTCTAGGCCAAATGATTCTTCTTTAGAGGACATAGAAACAGTGAGCTGAAGAGACAAGATAGCTGTGAAAGCAAGGAACAAGATTCTAGGAGGTGTCTTGATTAAGCAATATCCACCAAGTAAGTTTCCAAGGATTCCTCCAACAGCTGAAGCCATGAGAGCATAAGACTGAAGACCATTCATTTGATATTTTGCACCATATTCAGCAACTAATGCGTCTTGAGCAACTTCAGTAACAGATGCTCCAAGGTTACTGAGCAAAGCAAGTCCTAAAAGTGAAGGAAGAGCTTCCCTAGAACCGGGGAATATAGCTAATGAACCCCATGCTAAACCCTGTAAAAGCACTGAGACAACAAGACAACATCGGACCAACTAGTTTCTTTTTTTTTTAAGACAAGAGAATGTTGTTGACTAACTAACCTCCAATGGATATGTAAGGAACTCTACGAGCACCACCGATGTACAGAACATCTGAGAGAACTCCATAGAGAGGCTTAGCTACCATGGGAAGAATAGCAGTGTACTGCACAAGCTGAAGAGTCGATGGCTTTAGGTTAAGGCAATGAGACATGTGGAAGTTAAGTGCAAGCCATGGGAAACATCTTGACCCTTGAACCCAATACCCTAAAGCACACAACAAAACAGCGTTTCCTTGGTCTCTGCTACCAACTTCGGTTACATCAAAGCCTCCACTAACACCACCACCATTGTTGTTTTGCCTTCTAACCAATGAGAGACTACTACTGGTTAATGTTGTTCTTGATCTCTTGTTGGATTTTACGACAATGGTTTTGGTTACCTGCTGTTTCTGGTTAATGGTGGTGTTTAGGCTTAAACCGTATGGTATTGTTGATGGTTTCAACAGATTTAGTGGGTTTGTGATTGATACTAATAATGGATTGTTCATGATTCTTTTAGCTTTTTCTTGTTTTTGATCTCAGAGATTCAAAATCTGTGGGAAATTATGAAGAGATGGAACAGAGAGAAGAAAGGAGAGAGAATCGCGGTAAAAAGACCAGACAGAGATTAATGTGGCTGATCATATAGTTAGCACTTTATCTGTGTGTTGAGAGAGGAAACTATAGAATCAGAGAATCAGACAGAATGGGATTTTGTTAATTTTGTTTAATATAAAATTAAGTACAGAGTAATAATGTTACGGTTGGAAAGATCTCGAAGATTGATAAGAATCAAACAGACAGAAAGAGTAGATAAACAAGTATAGTACTAATTTTTAACGTATTTAAATGCAAATTACTATAATTTGTATTGGTTAACTAATTTTTTCGCGGGACCCACTTGACGGAGTAAGCGTGGTGTTTGAAAGAGGAGAGTTTCTTTAACATTCGGGTGGGTCCCATTACCTCCTCGAAACTGTGACCTCGCCCGGTTTGATGGTGACTTGTTTTTATTTGTGTAAATATCAGTCTGACAGATTCATTTAGTTTCGACACGTATGAATTAGACATGTGTTGCAACACTATAAGGAAATCCTATGCCAAAAACAAGAAATGAACTGTATGCATAAATAACAAAATATACATATCAAACTATATAAAAGATAATGTAATATTCTTCATTATAAAATGTTATTGCGATCATAGTAGCTCAATTTTTTTGATACATCAGCTTCATCTTCACATTTCTCCTACCCAATACTTGGGTCATATTTATTGCACATCGTACCATACCATTAGAAACCCAATCGCAAAAGTATAAAAAAAAAAATTGTGGAGAGATGACAAAAAGGAATAAAGGATAAAAGAAAAGGTACAGAAAGGATAAAAGAAAAGGTACAAAGTATGGATTACAATTTACAACAGATATATAATAACCAACATAAAAATATACTAACGAAGTAACAAACAAAATAAACATGTCCGTGTGAAGCACGGAATCCCTAATCTTATATAATATGGCCTCAAATGGACGAATAGTCCAAGATTGAAAATCCGGCAAAGAAAACAGCAATTGTACCTAAACACAAAAAAATATAACAGCAACCGAAATAAATAAACAAGAACAAACGCTAGACAATTCCCACAGGGCTAATTAGTAGAGAACGTTCTTGATCTTGTTCTTTTGATGTTGAAGATCTTGAGAGAATTGTATCCTTTTCTATTTTATTACTGTTTAATCCTTTACTTTTGGGTATGTAATCGAAAGATAGGTTTTTATTTGTGGCCATTGCGACTAATTCTTTCTCCTCAAGTCCCTTTGTCTCTCCAATGCTACATTGTTCCCTCCCATGTTTCTCCAACGCCTCCCTGAACTTATTTATCTGCCAAAAAAACAAAACAAGCAAGTAGTGTTCGAAATGCTTGAAGTTGTCGGATTATTTGAAAATATCAGTATATATATAGTAACTACATGCATAGATGAAAATGCAAACATAAACAAACAATCAATTTCTTATAGTTTATAGAAAGAAGAAAAAATGAATAAAAAAGAATGAACCGTGGCATTAGTACAACTTAAGCTGCAGACGCGGCCTGAGGAGCCGCGGTAGAAGCGGAAGAAGTGAAGAAAACGTGAAGACTTTAGTGCTGTTCGTTTGGTTGCTGCAGCGTCTGCGGCTGCGGCTGCGTCAAAGAATTGTGTTCGTTTGATTGACGCAGGGCTTGCGTCTAGACGCCGCGGGTAGACGCTGCGTCCGGCGTCACTGAAATTTTGATTGCATTAGGCAACAATGGAATCAAAGGGAAAATCCCGCAGTGGTTTTGGAAACTTCCTCGTCTTACCTCAGTTTTTATAAGAAATAATTCGATTAATGGTTTCGAAGGTCCAGTGGACGTTTTGGTAAATTCATCTTTGAGGAATTTAGATATGGAGATAAACTGTTTTGAAGGAGCAATTCCTATCCTACCACTATTTATCAACCTTTTTAATGGAGCAGGCAATAGATTTACAGGGAGGATACCTCTTTCAATATGCAATTGTAGATCTCTCACGCATTTGATACTGAACAACAACAACCTCACGGGTCCAATTCCTCAATGCTCGAGTCACAACTTGACGTTTGTGAATCTCCGGAAGAACAACTTGGAAGGAAGTATTCCTGAATCCTTTTATATGAGTGCTTCTCTACAGACACTTGACGTTGGACACAATCGACTAACCGGGAAACTTCCAAGATCTTTTCAAAATTGTTCATCTCTGGAGTTTCTAGTTGCTGACCACAACATGATTGAAGACACATTTCCTTTCTGGCTCAAGGCTTTACCAAATTTGGAAGTACTTATTCTCAGTTCAAACAAATTTCATGGATCTATCTCTCCTCCTGACGAAGGTCCTCTCGGGTTTCCAGAGCTACAAATATTTGAGATATCTGATAATAATTTTTCTGGAAGCTTGTCACCATCATACTTTGTTAACTGGAAAGCATCGTCAATGAATGAAGCTGGTAGTCTATATATGATATACAGAGCTATCTCTGCGGGAGTGTACTATAGCAATTTAGAGACTATAGATTTGCAATACAAAGGTCTATCAATGGAGCAACAGGAGGTCCTTACTTCATATGCCACCATTGATTTTTCTGGGAATAGAATTGAAGGACAAATTCCTGAATCAATTGGTCTCTTGAAAGCATTGATTGCACTCAACTTCTCAAACAACGCCTTCACTGGCCATATTCCTCTGTCTTTCTCCAATCTGAGCAATCTCGAATCACTTGACCTATCAAGCAACCAACTCTCAGGAACCATTCCAAGTGGACTTGGGAGCCTTTCTTTTTTGGAGTACATAAATGTGTCTCACAACCAACTCAAGGGTGAAATACCACAAGGAACACAGATTACTGGGCAACCTAAATCTTCCTTTGAAGGGAATGCATGCCTTTGTGGTATTCCTCTCCAAGAAACTTGCTTTGGGACTAATGCACCACCGACACAACAACCTCCTGAAGAAGATAAAGAAGAAGAGGAAGAAGTGTTGAACTGGAAAGCTGTGGCAATAGGGTATGTACCTGGACTGTTGCTTGGACTTGCAATAGCACACCTCATTGCTTCATACAAACCGGAGGCTTGTCAAGATTATTGGTCCAAACAAGCGCAGAAACCGTTAGGATTGTTTTCAGTTTGAGTATGATCCTTCAATATATGTCTAGTAGTTAAGTGCTCATGTCTGCAAACATTTCCTTATGTTTGTCGTATCAATATCTGATGTTTTGTTCTATTTCTCCTTTTTTATATAGCCTCCGAAGTCTCTTCTATATTTCTCAGTCTTTAAGGTTTCTAGTTGTTGACCACCTTATAATCAAATACAAGCTTTTTTTTAGCCCAAGGTTAAATGTTAGGGCAACATTTTCGCATAGGTTCTTCACAACAATCTATTATTACCCCTTATATATATTAAAAAAATATTATAACATTTTACCTATGACATGTGTCATCAGTAAAATGATTTTAAAAATAATTAGAGAATTATTTACATCTAAACATATATTATATTTTTTATTAACCTACTCATAAATTAATTATTAATATACAAAAATATATTTGTATTCTTTCCTTACAAAAAGCTACAAAAGTACATAATATGGTTATATATAGATAATAAAGATTAATTATTTAAACAATAAATATTTGGTAACATGTTTTATATCTTACACCATTTTTGTTTAAGCTTATATTATTAAAATAAACTCAAATATTATATTTTCCATATAATAAAAATTTAGATTTTTTATATGTTATATTCTGAATTTTCAAAAATGATTTTTCATTACTAGAATTGTTAAGCGTCTCACATTTAAAAAATTGTGATCAATGATTTAAATTCTTGTTTTAACTATATACACATGATCATAAAACAATATGAATACAAATTCCCATTTAATAGATACTCATATTAAAAGTATATATACTGTTTAAATAAAATTATATACCATATAAAATATATATTTTGGTTCTTAAATTTGCATTGAACAGGTTGTGAAAATTTAATATTTTAATTTTGCATTGATTTTTTAACTATTATAAATTACTATTATTATTAAAAGAACACATTACCATTTTTTTTTCAGCAGTTTATGTGTTATAAAAAGTACAAATGACCGGGTTTTTTTAATAGATAACCATATTAAAAAGTATACTATATATATATCATTTAAGTTTAACTATATATCATATAAAATAGGTAAATATGATTCTTTTGATTTATTTATCATAAAAAGATTGATTACCTTGATTTGTGTGTTTATGTCACTTTAATTATATATATAATATTTACTTGTCTCTCAATTATTCAATATGTATTTATTATTTGTTATTTTTTAATATGTAAAAATATAAAATAAATAATAATATAGATAAAAGATTTGTATACCGATGTTCATTCCGCATAAGAAGCGAATCTTTAATAGTCTTGATATATTAATTATACGTAAATAGTTAAATTTTAGTTAAAATTAAACAATCAAACTAATTAGATGTTGCAGAGTGTGATTTGAGAATCGATGGGTACCTTCTCTCCTAATTTTGTATTTTTTTTTTCTTTTTCTAAAATCATTAGATAGTGATGAAAATCTACTGTTGGAGAAGCTCTTATACTCCGTTCAAACAAATTCTATGGCTCGACGTGCCCTCTTGATCAAGGTCCTTAATGCTTTCCTTAGCTGCCAGATACTTGAGATGTATGTTAATAAGCTAACTGGAAGCTTACCACCAACTTATTTTCTGAATTGGAAAGCATCATCACTCGCAATGAATAAAGATGGGAGGTTATATGTGAATTACACTAAGAATGTTATGCACTCCAGTAGGCTAATACATGTGGAACAACATTTTCACATGCCATATTCCTCTGACTTTCACAAATCTTAAGAACCTGGAGTCACTAGACCTATCAAGCAACGAGTAATCGGGACTTCCTCAAGAAGTTGGCAGCCTCTCGTTTTGGAGGTATATAAATGAGACCACAACCAACTCGAGAGTGAAATACCAAAAGAAACTCAGATTATAGAGCAACCTAAATCTTCCTTTGAAGGGAATGCAAGTTTTTGTGGTCTTCCTCTATTGGAAAGTTGCTTTGAGAGTAACGCTCTGCCAGTACAACAACACTAGAAGCAAGCGCGAAGGAGAAAGTGGTGAGCTTAACTGGAAAGCAGTAGCACTAGGGATTGCGACTGCACAAACCGTTAGGATTGTTTCAGTTTTGAGTTTGTGCTTCCAGTGTTTGTCAAGTAGTTTTTGATCATCTATTATAGCATTTCCTTGTGTGTGTAAGTGATGCATTCAAATTCTTTAGAGTTGACTTAAGAAGGGTGAGTAAGTTTCTCACCGAAGGAGGGTCATAACTCATAAGAGAACTACTGTGAGAGGCCATGATGGATTCGAAGCAGTACTGATGATGTTTGTACTTGGGGTTCCAGCTCTAATTGCAACATTCTTTCCCGCAACGTTTTCTGAGAGCTCTGGATTTCACAGGTGTTTTATGCAGTTCGTTTCCCCCTTTGCTGTCCTGTCTCCTGTAGTTGCTTATACTCAACAGTCCAGAAAAAAAGCTCAAATCAACAACACATCTTCATCGTAAGTCCTCTTTTCAGTTATACCTTTGCAAGAATGATATGAAACCAAAAGCTTCTGTTTTCTGAAGGTCGTGGGTTCTCCCCGGAGGCAACTTTACCTTGATGATGAAATTATTCTGGGAATATGGCATTAGGTAACGATCAAATAGAAATGTAACGTTTGCATCATTCTACAGATACATTTTCCACAAACTGACTCGCTAACCAGACGTTAAGGGAGAAAAAAGACCCCAATTGGGACCCTCACAAAGAAATATTTATTATTGGGTTCCTTGTAGAAACTCTACAAGCGATTGAGAAGTCTTTATCACATAGCAAAATCAAATTTCCCGCTGGATGAAAACAGAAAAAGGAAAAATAATATCAAATCAAGAGACTTGAGATGGCAAACGAATAGAACTCTGTAAATTGATATCAATGGCTATCGTGAACAGATACTGTGTAATGACATTATTATATCTCTTACAATAATGATCCTGCTGCAAACCACAGCATTTGTGTTGAGTAGGAGACTACTATTTTGGTCACTGAGACTATAAGATGAGGAACTCTGAGACCAAAAAAACAAACTATGGGTTGAGGTCGAAGTTCGTCTCCAATATGTTCTGAATTTTGGACATCGAATCAACCTTAAAATCAGGTTGCAGTCCAGAGACAGAAAAATCATCTGGTCCATACCTTCCGGTTTCATCTAGCAAGCATGTGAAAGCTCCAGCTCCTTTCCCACATGCTATCTGCAGAATCAAGTGAAGAAAGAATCAAACTACCAGTTACAAATATTCAGACAATATGCAAAGTCCCTTCATAGCAGATCTTTAAGCATTGCCAAAAGAAGGTCTGTGTTTACGCTTCTTCCTTGGGCTTAAAGCCTCAGACCTTCTTTTGTCATTGCTTAAAGATTTGTTATGCAGAAAGATCTACTAACATGTCAGCCACTCACATCATCTTTCAAGCTGTCACCAACCATCATGACTTCGTTAGGTTGGATGTCCCATGCAGAACATATATGCAGCAAAGGATCCGGGTTTGGTTTATATGGACGAAACTCTCTGCCTAGTGCCGGAGAAAAGATAACCTAATGCAATCAAAAGTAATCAGACAAGCCCTCTCTATAACCACCAAAACCAATCAGGCAGCAAATTAGACATATTCCACATAACGTCTTTACTTCTGACATTTGGATTACACAGCTAACGATACTTACCTCAAAACGTTGGTGGAATATATCAATTGCCTTCTTAACATTGCGTGTAATCAGCCCCCTCCTACAAAACGAAACAACAAATTTCTCACCTTCTTTAACATTGTTGAACAAGGAAACAACACAAAGGTGTAGAGTGAAAAGAATCTGAAAACCTTACTTTATCTTCTTGGAATCAAGAAAGCCACATAGCTCAACAACACCTGCAACACAACTTATCAAGAATCAAAACCTCTACCCACCAAAGAAACAGAGGAGTTCACTACTTCATCTCCAACCCTTAAAGTTACAATCTTTATCATAAACCAACCAAGTTCGAATCTTTCACCTCATATATCAAAACCAACAAAGATACACACAAACCCACAAACTCAAACATAGCTCAACAACACCTGCAACACAACTTATCAAGAATCAAAACCTCTAACCACCAAAAAAACAGAGGAGTTCACTACTTCATCTCCAACCCTTAAAGTTACAATCTTTCTCAATCATAAACCAACCAAGTTCAAATCTTTCACCTCATATATCAAAACCAACAAAGATACACACAAACCCACAAACTCAAAAACCTCAAAAAACAATCCGGTACCAGGCATGATCTGGAGCTTATCAATCCCCTGTTTCTCATAATCAGCGATGGTTTCATACGCCTTCTGCTGCTTATCGGGGCTCCACGACTCGATATGGTGAAGAATATCGATTCCGGTAGGACTCTCGGCCTTGATTCGCTTGTACTCGTCTTCTCCGAGGACGGACCTGTACATTGCCGCGAAATCGATGACCGGGACCGTTAAGGTTCCGTCCATGTCGAAGACGACGCCTCTAAGGCGAGATTTCGCGTTCGTTGTTAGATTGGCCATGGAGATTGAAGAGGATGAAGGTTTGAGTGTGAGGGAAAGGAATGATCTTGATAAGAGGAATGTCATGGAGAAAGAAATGGGAAAGCGATAACGGGAATCGAAGGTTGGTAATTAATCTATTAACCAATCCGGTTCGGTTTGTTTAAATCAAAGTTTAGTTCGTTTCGGTTTAGATAACTGTTATTTTGGTTTATTGATAATTTCAAAATTTTATATCCAACAATTCAAAACTTAAATAACTACAGTGACTACTTCAATTTATATTTAACTTTAGTCTAAAGTGTTATTAATAAGACATGAAATGAATTCAAATCTTAAATAAAATTTACTATTAGAAAAAAAATTATTGTATCTAAAGTATTTTTAACTAGTGTTCTAAAAATTCTTAGTCCGTGATTAAATGTTTATTGGTTAGATACTTTATAGAAGATTAATAGTTAGATGGAGTCTAAACTAATTTTTTTATCATTTAGACCAATTTAAAAAAAAAATTAATTTGAAAAAATTATTTCATTTATATCTAATGACGTCTTAGACTAAACAATGTTATTTACCAATTCTATTCCTGAAAAAAGGTCCAACAGAGCCCTATATATAATCAAGACATGTTTTCAAACGGTTCATAATAAATAAATAAATCTCTTCTTTTTCAGCTATACTTAACCGGTCTGGTTTGGTTTATTTAAAAATTAGTTTGTTTCTGTTTAGAGGATTGTTTGTTTGGTTTTATTTTATTTGAGCATGTTTGTGTAAGAGCTCAAGAATGGAAACAAAGACACCAACAATCTCAACAATAATGGTTGTGCTGCTGTATCTTCTCTTCTTATTTTCTTCCTCTTCTTCATCGGTTTCCTCTTCGGTTCGCTTCTTGGCTGCTCGGGAACGGTTCCGGGCTCTTCTAACTCGTCCCACCCACCAAAGTTAGAAGCCATTCCAGCTGAACCACGGGGTTCGTTGACACTGTTTCTGACCTGAGACGGTCTGTACCTAACTCTGCTCCTCCTCTCCTCTTCCATCTCTAACCCAAATTGATTTCCCATAGATGATGCTCGTCTACGTTTATCCCAACCAATTAACTTCTGGAACGCTAAAAACAACAGTGATGGTCCGATCGCTACACCTAGTGATATGAGGAAAGCTTTGGGCCCGGTGCTGAAAAACAGCGATAAGAGGATGAAGGGGAGGAGATATCCATACGACTTGAATGCCTACACAGAGAAATAAAAACAATCAAAAACGATCAACAAGACGACACTTTTACTTAGCTTTAATTAAAAAAAAAAAGACCATGTTGTTCTTACGAAACATTCATTTGATTGAGACCAAACTAACTCACCAATCAAATGTTCCATTGAGACAAACCCAAACATAGTTTTAGAAGTAGAAATGAAATACCTTTAGTATCCAGACATTGTCTACAATCTCCTCTAAGATCTTCCATAAATCAATTTTACCACTATCATCACCACCACCGCCATCATCATCGTCATCTTCAACATTATCCTCCAATAATTCTTCCCAAAGCTGCCGTCTTTTCCTCCCTCTCTTCCCCCTTTCCCGCCGTCCATATCTTCCCTCTTCCTCCGCGACGGCAAAGATTTTGTAGCGGAATCTCCGGAGATTCAGGGGGATTAGCTTCACTGTAGAGCGTGAGGAATAGAGGAGATAAGAGCCAGATGATGGGGAAGATTTAGGCTTTTGGAATCGCCACGCGCGTGGGTTTGAGAAGCTGAGGAAAATAGAGGGGCGCGGAAGAGCTACTGTCTCCGCCATTAACGTCTCTCTGGTGAAGCGAGAGAGCAAGTGAAAGGAGGAAGGAAATTATTCTGGTCCGTGTATGTCCACTGAACTTGCGCCACGTTGTCATCATCTCCTCCATTTAAATCGAATTACCACTTAACCGGATTGGTCCACACGAGAATGTTCTAAATTAAAATACCGGTTTAGATTTCCTTAGTGGTGGTTACTGTGTTAATGAAATGGGCCTTGTACAGATCCAAATCGGATGCTAAAAGTAAAACTCTCAAATTCAATGAATGAGCTTGGAGAACACGTTAAAAACCTAAAACCCTATGCTGTTTTTAGAATCTTAATAGCTCTACTACTTACTTGTCTACTCTTTACTTCTGGTGCGAATTGTCAGTTTTGCTCTATCTGTTCTATATCTTCTCGGGTTTAGTGATAATGAATCGTCTTGTCTCCAACATTGCTTCAAAAGCTAGGTTAGAACTATTATCAGCTTCTTCATTTTTTCTGTATTTTTAAAAAGTTACTTTCATTTCATTTCTTGATATCATTTACTTTCTTTTCTTTTAACAGAATTGCCAGAAAGTGTACAACCCAGGTTCGTGTTGTTCTTCACTTATGCTGCCTTAGCCCTTTGTTGCTAGTATGTATGTATTGATGTGTGTTACTGTTCAGATTGGAAGTAGGCTCTGTTCAACTAGGAGTTATTCAGCAACAGACATAAGGTCCGGTGTTGATGATACAGGTCAAGTCTCTATGAGAACCAAGGTATATATAAACTTTTGTTTTATGATTATTTCTGTGCTAGAGATTAGTATTGCAACTTGCAAGTGTTACTAATAAGAAAGAAACATGTGACGCACTAGTGAGTAGTGACAACTATCATCAATTATCTGTTTTTTTTATTACCTATCAAGTTATATATCTAAATCACCTTATTTTTTCTTAAAGGGGTGTAATGTCACCATCGAACAAAGCGATGAGGGAAATATCATCACCATCACACAAAGCTGGCGTGAACCAAAGGTGAAAAAAGATGATGCTACTGTTGCCAAGACCAATGACATCAAGGAGAAAGTCGAGAACATTGGTTCCAGTTTTGTCAAACCGGTTGCTAAAGCCACAAATAATGTAGCTCCTGATGGTAAGGACACACTTATCATTGACTTTTGTTTGGAGGTTGTTCTGTCTCCTATCCTAATTATTCTCATTTTAAAATATTGTTGTTTTTTGAATTCGGCTAAAACAAAAACAGGAACAACGTATGCTGCTCTCCTTGCTAGAGCTATCCTCACGGAAGGTTGTAAATTAGTTGAGTCTGGAAGGAGGAGTGAATATTGTAAATTAGTTGAGTCTGGAAGGTGGAGTGAATATTATACAATGCTGCCCCTAAGACGCGGTATCAAGTTAGCAGTTGCTACTGTTCTAAAGAACTTGAAGAGTAGAGCACGCATGATTAGCACTTTCGAAGAAATTGCCCAAGTTGGAACCACAGCAGCTAATGGAGATAGAGAGATTGGTGAACTTATTGCAAAGGCTATTGAAAGTGTCGGCAAAGATGGAGTGATCACTGTTCAAGTGAGTTGAATATGATCCTTAAATTTCAAAAAAAAAATGCTTATTTTTTATGGACAAGCCTTAAGTTTAGTAAGGATTTTAATAATTTTTTATAGTTTTGGCAGCTTATATTTATATACATTATCTCTTAAAATTTTGATATACCAATGTTTCATTTGTCTATACTAAAGATCCGGCTTTTGGTACAGGCTAGAAACACCTTGTTAAGCGAGTTGGAAGTTGTTGAGGGTATGAAGATTGACAGGGGATACAGATCTCCACTCTTCATTACAAACAAGAGAAACCAAACATGTGTAAGAATCCTGATCAAAACCTTGATGTTTTTATCCATTTTTAAGGAGTTCACAAGTATTGATATGGTTTGCAGGAGCTAGAAAATCCTCTAATTCTCATCCACGAGAAGCAAATCACTAGTCCTCAATATCATCATATGTCTACAATCTTAGAGTTGGCTATCCAGGTATATTAGTAAATTCAATAATGTCTACTTATCCAAAACCTTGTTACTTTTATCCGTTTTATATTTGTATTGATATGGTTTGCAAAAGCTAGAACATCCTTTCACTCACTCCCACGATGACGAGAAGAATGTTGCCAATTTTGAATATATGTCTAAATTCTTAGACTTGGCCCTCAAGGTATAAATCATTTCAGTAATTAATGTCTATGTTATTTTGTATATGAATATATATATATATATATATATGTTTTCTCTGTCCTTTTTTGTCAGGAAAAAAGGTCGCTGCTGATCATTGCGGAGGATTTGGACAGTTTCTCTGTTGCTGGGCTAATTTGGAAAACGCCTCGTGCTGAGGATGTTTCTAGGCTAGGGCTAAGTTGGAATACGTCTCAGGCTGAAATGAAGGTTTTTCTTTTCAGCATTTTTTTTTTGGTTATATGTTCTTAGTATATCTTTATTTGCTTGGTTTAATGTAAATGCCATCACATTATATATATAGTTATGTGCTGTGAAGGCCCCTGGTTTTGGAGAAGCCCGTAGGGCTTATATGCAAGATCTAGCTACCCTCACAGGAGCCCAGGCAAGAACATTTTACTATCTGCCAAACTTACAGTAATTGCATGCATGTATAATATTCCTTTGATGATTTTAAACTTACAGGTGATATCAGAAGAGAAAGGTATGAGTCTTGAGAAAGTCGATCTCAGTATGCTTGGAAGCTGCAAAAAGGTTCGTTTGGCTTAATTCAAAAAAACATTTATATCACATGCATAAGCGGATCTGCCCATAGCTAAATGAAACAGTGATCTTATTTTAATGTAAATATAGGCTTATTTTTTCCAAATTGTTATAAGAAAAAATTATTCTAGTTTACTACTAAATTGGCTATGATATCAAAAATCTATGGACAGTCCTAATCATATGATCTCATTTGTGAACAGGTAATTGTATCAAAAGACAACACTGTTTTTATTGGTGGGGCTGGTGACAAGAATAGTATTAAGGAACGATGTGAAGAGGTAGGGTTTATACTTCTCACTTATTATATCATGTAGACTTTTTTTTTTCCAAGTGTGAAGGATGTTATATATGTTTTAAATCTAAATAATCATGCAGCTACGATCCATGGTTGAAGCTACACAGTCAGACTATGACAAGGAGAGGTTACAAGACAGGTTGGCTAAGCTTTCTGGTCGTGTTGCTGTAATAAAGGTAATGAAACTGTTCTGTTGGAACACACTAATGGATCCCAATATTTACTGATGCATAAACTATAATGATGGGTTGGCTTTTAGGTTGGAAGAACGAGTGAGAGAGAAGTAGTAAACAATGCTCTAAATGCCACCAAAGCAGCTTTAGAAGAAGGTATTGTTCCAGGCGGTGGTGTTGCTCTTCTGCACGCGTCAAAAGAACTTGAGAAGCTCTCCACAGATTGCTTTGTTAAAATCGGTGTCCAAATCCTTCAAAACGCTCTCGAGGTTTTTTCTTTTTTCCTCTCATATCACAAATTTTGTTTCATTTCCAACTTTTGATACCTTCTTGAATCTTGAACACTAAATATTAGTTTGATGCAGATACCTGTTTACACTATTGCTTCCAACGCTGGAGTAGACGGTGACGTCATCGTAGACAAGCTTTTGGAATCAGATAATCCTGACATTGGTTATGATGCTGTTAAAGGTATATATAGCTCACAGTTTACTTGCCCTTGTTACTTTGCTAAATACGGAACTAACTTCTGTTAAAATCAGGAGAATACGTGGATATGGTGAAGTCTGGTATTATCGACCCTGTGAAAGTGATCAGAGCTGCATTGCTTGATGCTACAAAGGACTCAAATGGTCTGAAATATTATTGTCAGATTTTGTAGTTTATTTTTGCAATGTTTATTTTGTTGCTAATCTTTGTTGTTCTATTGGTTAGTGTCTCGTATTTTTGACTGAGATTCCAACCAAAGAAGATGCGGCGTCTCCGGGTATGGGTGGTGGCGGCATGGACGGTATAGCTTTCTGATGAGAACCATACACGCTAGCTAGGTTACTAGAAACTGTTGTGAGATTATATGGTTGCTTCATCCACAAGGCACTAATGGACCCTAAGACTTTTCCCATGATTTCTGGGGTCTTCCAGTTAACAATCTTTGATAAAATCTTTTAAGCTTTAAGTATTTTGGTCATATGAGTCTTTTTTTTTTTTTTTGTTATTTTCAGCTTTGATGATGATAAGGATTTTTTTTTCTTTTTGAAAATCACAAAAACATGCATTATAACTTTAGACTCTACAACTCTAATACTGTTTTCTGTTTTAGAGATGCCCTAAGTTACTAATTAAAAGAGTGGTTCAAAAAAAGTTATTAATTAAAACTAGATAATTTATATTGTACGAAAGTCTTCTTTTTAACTTAATGCATAGTTAGTTTTCTTGTATGAGGATTTATGCTTAAGAAGAACCAATAATACTTGGGATGAAGGATGATACTATCCTTATCATTTTGGGAACCGCCTGCTACAAAATACAAACCTCTGGCTCCAGAAGTTGTTGAGATTTTGACATCAGGCTTGTAAGCATATGTGTTTCCTTGTAGTTCCACACCTGATTCGAACAACTGATCGAATAGCTGATATACTTTTGCTAACAATCGGCATTTAACCACATAATGGAATGGGCCAAGTTTGATTGGGCTGGTTTTGTTAACAACTAAGCCATATATAGCCCTAACTAGCCTAGCTCCAACTATTTATATGTGAGTTTCACTGGATCCTCGACTTTAAGGTATCAAGCTTTCAGCTATCGGCAGACTTCAACATGGCGACGCAAATCAGAGGGAAGAAAAAGGTGAATTTCACTGGATCCCACTCACTGTATTTATTGTATTTTGATCCGTTTTTAGTACGTAACTTTGTTGAGTTTTGTAGTTTGTAGCGGACGGTATATTCTACGCCGAATTGTATGAGGTTTTGACAAGAGAGCTTGGAGAGGACGGATACTCTGATGCAGAAGTTGGTGAAGACGTTAGGGTTACAAAGAAGGAAGAAGTTG